ACTTGAGTATAAGCGGAAAGGCCCAGCAGCAGAACGGTCCCACCCATAACCGAAGTACCACTGTAACTCAGTGGGGCGTGTAAGCTGTTTGCTTCCGTAACACATCCTCACGAACGGAGTGGCTTAAACAATGTCCATGTATCATCCTACAGTGTGTGGCCCAGAAGGAAATCGGACTCAGGTGTCACTGCCTAACAGTGAGGTGTCACCAGGAGGACTACACTCCTTTCTGGAGGTTCTAGGGTTAAGTTCATCTTCTTACCTTTTCCAGCATCGGAGGACAGCTTGCATTCCTTGGCTCCAGGTCCCTTCTTCCGTCTCAGAGGCCGCCACGTCTGTGCCGGTCCCCCGCAGGCCGCGCCTCTGTCACCAACCCCCCCTCTGCTTCCCTCTTCGGTTTCTAAGGATGCTTGACCACTCTGACCCCGCTGGACAATCTCAAAGTGCCTCATATGATCATCTTGGAAAATCCCTTTTTCTGTGTAAAGTAACAGACTCATGAGTCCCGGAGTCAGGATGGGACACGGACATCTGTGGGGGCCAGTACTCTGCCTGCTGGGTAGGAAGGAAGGTGGTCTTGTCAATCAAAGGTGCTGGACCTACTTTGTTCCCATCGGGGGGGAGTCATCTTTGATGCCTGCCTCACAACGTACAAAACAAACAAACGTCAGTTCCAAACGATCATAAGCCTGAACGCGAAAGATAGAACAACTCTGTTTCTAGAATAAGACGTAACAGGATGTCTTCATGACCTTGGGGTAGCGAAGACGTCTTCAAACACAAAAAGCACTCACCAAGAAAGAGATCAAATCATTACATTCAAGAACCTCTATTCGTCAAAAGACACCATCAGAGTTGAAAAGATAATCCACCGAAGGGGAGAAAATGCTGCAACACGTGCATCTAAGGACCTACATCTGGAACACACAAAGAACTCTCACAAGTCAATCAGAAAAAGGCAGGTGACCCATTGGAGAAATGGACAAAAAACTAGCTTTCCGTAGCCACTTTGCAAAAGAGGAGAAACAAATGGTCAAGGACCTACGAGAAACTGCTTCAAAATGGGTAGGCACGAAAGGAATGCAGAATGAACCGCAATCAGCCTCACATCTCCTGGAGTGGACTTCACAGGAAGACCGAAGCAAGGGCCGGCGGGGACTCCGCTGGTGGAGGAGGGCTGAGTGAGTTGCTGGAACCACCCCGGAGAACCGTTCATTCGTCAGTAGCTACAGATGCTGAACTTCAGTGCACCCTGCCCAGCAAGTCTACTCCTGTCACACGCCGCCGTGTGCAACAATGTTCGTGGCAATGTTATTTGTAAACAAACTGGCTGTTGGTGTAACGGGATACTGCACAGCAGGGGGAAAAACTCACGTTGCCCACAATGCTGGTGAATTTCATAGACGTAATGGCAAGGGAAAGCAGGCAGACAAAAAAAGGCATACACTCTGTTTGGTTGCATTTCTGTAACGAGGAAAACGGGCAGAATGGATTCTTGGCTGTCGAAACCAACCGGAGGAGAGGTCATCTCTCAGAGGGGTGGTGTCAGAGCGGGAACCAGGCGGCTCCTGAGAGCCGACGGCCTCTTGCCTGGATTGGACAGGGGAGCCGTCTGCCCGCGGGCCTATGGAAAAGGCTTCTGGCTGCACTGAGGGCTTGGCTGCCTCGCTTCACTGTAACGCCGGGAAGTAGAATGAAAACGTGATTTTAATTCAAAATGAAAACTTCATTTTGAAGGTTTATAAAAATATATATTTGCCATCACACTGACCCAGCAACCCAGCCTCTTGGGATCTGTCCTTGAATCCACTGTGCTAAGTTCAGGTGTTCTTTTTTTCTTTTTTTAAGATTTTATTTATTTATTTTTAGAGAGGGGAAGGGAGACGGCAGTGTGTGGTTGCCTCTCGCGCGCCCCCTGCTGGGCACCTGGCCTGCAGCCCAGGCCTGTGCGCCGACTGAAAATCGAAACGGGGATCCTTTGGTTCACACGCAGGCTGGCCTGGATCCGAGGAGCCACACAAGCCAGGGCCAAGTTCCGGCTTACACACAGAAACCTCCTCAAAGAACAGAACCTGAGAACGGCGTTTTCTCAGTCACGTAAGGCAGGCCGAGGTTGGCAGCCTGGACGCCTTTCTACTCTGTGGCCGGTGGCGCGTGGCGGCGGCGGCGAGCAGAAGGCTCAAGGGGCCGCCTGTGCTTCAGAGGCCTGTCCCCCGGAGTCACGGTTCTGGCTTCAAGCGTCCTTCTCTCGCCAGCTTGCGTGCTCCGGTGCCTGACTCCGAACCCCGGTCAGGCCCGGCAGCCCCCCCCCCCGCCCCCAGGTGAACCTGCCCCTGTCCCTCATCCACCTCCTCCCCCCTTCCTCTCTTCCCCAGTTTAAATGTCCCACTCAAGCCTCACAGTCACTCTCTTGCACACACCGCGACCTCACTTGTCCCTCCCTTCCTTTGTCGTACTTCCGGGCAGAACCCCGACCCGCCCAAGTCCAACTCCACCTGCTGCCATGGCCGATGTGCAGCTCCAAACCCCTGCTGGGTCTTCCTCTGGCCTCCTGGCCCCTCGCCTGACCCCCGCCCCAACCCCTGGACCGTCCTCTACCCCGGTCCCGAACCGGAGCCCCAACCTCGTCTCTAGCCCGAACCTCTGACCTCCCTGACTGGGGCGCGCCTGCTGCCGGGACATCCCATCCCATTGTTTCTCTCGACTCTTGTCACTCGCGCAAACGCAGGCTACTGTGGAAGGTCACGTACAATTTGTGGGGAGAACAGGGGAGAGGATGAGGAAGCCCCCCAGAAAGGAAGAGAAAAAACAAAAAAGAGCCCGCAATATTAAAACAACCTCCTGGCTGGTGTGGCTCAGTGGGTTGAGCGCTGGCCTGCAAACCAAAGAGTCACCGGTTCGATTCCCAGTCAGGGCACACGCCTGGGTTGCGGGGTCAGGTCCCCTCTGGGGGCGTGCGTGAGGCAACCACACATTGATGTTTCCTCTCTTTCTCTCTTCCTTATCCTCTATCTAAAAATAAGTTAATTAACTAAAAGCATAAAACAAACTGGATGTGCCACGACTCCGTGCACTTGCACTGTGGCACGAAGAGATGCAGGGCGGGAAGACGGCTGGCGTGTGGCAGTGGATCACGCATTGCCAGGGGTGGGATGCCTTGTTTATACTTCCTTTGATAAACTTGAAGAGGCTGCTGCAAGTACATGTTCTTTAGGTAATCAAAAAACCCCACAAAGTTACTGTTGAAAAAGGGGTTTCTCTGAAACTCCTACCTGCCTGAGCTGCAGAGAACTCGCAGCTAGCTGGTACCCAGAAGCTACCGCCACAGCACTCCCGCCCTTCTGTGGAGACCTTATTTTTGTCTTCTCTCTCCAACCTGATGGAGCTGGGCCATGGGTGAGCCACCCAAAGGGCAGGTGAGCAGCGTTGCCACCTGTCTTCACACTTGGCGCCTCCGGCACCAGAGGGAGGAGAGGGCTTTCCTTCCCTCCCCAACCAATGTCTTTGGAAGTCCTGCACACAGAGACACTCCTGCTGGCCCACCGGTCACTGCCTCCTGCTCAGCCCTGTCTCCAGCCAGTCGGGGCCCCTCGGCAGCACCAGGGACCAGCTTTGACTCTCACCTGCCCCTTCAGTGGGGCCTCACCCCGCCCCCCATGGCCTTGGGACAGAGCCGTGGGGTGCTCTGTCCCGATACTACTGCAAGCATCCTCTGATACTGGGGGCATTAAAATGCCAGTCCTGTGTGACCCTGAGTGCCTGTCTGTCCACCCTGTTTCTGGCCTGGACTTGGGTGCAGGAACATGACTGTCCTTCCTTATCTCCCATTTGCCTCCAAGGTGTGGGCAGGGCAGGAAAGAGGCCTGGCTTTATGGTTTCTTGGCAGTGGAGGCCTCGGTTTCTGGCACGTGTGGTTAGAGTCACTCGATTTGCTGTCTGTAACACTCAATGCCCTGTGCCAGCACAGGCACTTGGTGTCACTTTTTGAAGGGCCCTGCACTAACTGGCACCACCTTCTCCCTACTGGGAGGCGGACACCTGGTCCAGCGCCGGGCAGCTCTGGGTCAGGCAGGCTACCTCTTCCAGACGGTGACAGTGAGAGGTGGGGAAGCCTCCTGCGAAGACGTGCCCTTCACCAGCTTCTGAAGACTAGGGAGCCTGCTGAGATTAGAGCTCCACACGCCTCTGAGTGTGAACTGCAGGACCCTCCCCGTGCGGTGCCCTGGGAGGACATCAGTGAAGAAGGCAGACAGGCGGACGGGACGGGAAAGGCGGAAAAGCCCTTCTAGGCACAGGGTCCGAGAGGAGCAAACGCTGGCAGGTGCGAAGCAGGATGGCGAGTCCCGGAGAAGGGTCTGGTGCGACTGGATTGGGGTTAGGGCGGCAGGAGGATCCCACACGCCGCCCAGCCGGCTCTCCCCGCGTGACCTCGTCGATCTCCCCCCCCCCCCCCCCGGGGACCGCTACGAGTGTAACTTCATCCCAGGGAAGGGGAGGGTGGGGCTGAAAGGTCACGCCGGGGAGCCTGGCTGTGGAACCGAAGCTGGAGCTCAGCTGGGCAGTCTGTGGGTGTGGCAGGCCCTGGTGCGAATTCTGGAAGCCGCATCTCGGACGGGGGAGGGCAGGCCTGGACGGAACACAACGCCGTGCGGAGGACGCGGCGTGGGGGGATCAGGCTGGCTGCCGCCCAGAACCCGGGAGTGCCTCCGGGCTGTGCGCGCTGGCCGGGGCCGGGGCCGACTTTAGACAGGCGCGGCGCCCAGCGCCCCCCAGCTCTCCGCCACGCCGTGAGCGCGCGACGCAGCGGCTCTCGACCCCAGGGCGCCCTCGCCGCCCCGCACCGCCAGACTGAGAAGGGCCCTCCGCGCACGCGCCGTCCGCCCGCCCGGCGGCCGCGCATCGAGGACCAGAATGCAGCGCGCGGGGCCGGCCCCGAGGCACGCCGGGACCGGTAGTAAGTCGCGAGGCACGCCGGGACCGCCCTCACCTGGCCGGCGGCGGGAGCCGGAGGGGCCCAATGGGAGTGGCGCCCGGTCGCCCCGCCCCGCGCCGCCGGACGTCTGTGCCGGGACATGGCCGCCGCCGGTGCCGGCTCCTGGAGCTGAGCACCCGCCGCAGGGAGCCAACCGCCGCCCTCAACCGTCCGCGCGGGCGGGCCGAGGCGCCGCCGGGCCAGCGAGGAGCCGCGGAGGAGGAGGCACCAGCGGGAGGCCGGCGCGGCCGCCGTAGCCGGGCACATGGCGTCCATCTTACTGAGGAGCTGCCGCGGCCCGCCTGTCCGCCTCCCGGCGTCCGGCGCTGCCGCCCGGAGGGGTAAGCGCACGGCCGACGGCGCGGGCCGGGCGGCCCGGGAGGGCCAGGGGCCGGGGAGGGACCGAGACGGGCGAGGCGGCTCCCCGGCGCTGGGTCCGCGCTGCGCTCGAACGCGGCCCGGGGCAGGGGTCACCCCGGGCCGGGGCCTTGGCCGGCCCTGCCCCTGCGCCTCGCCCGGGCGGCGGTGGGTGCCGTGCGCTCGGGACAGCCCGGCGCGGGCGGTGGCTTGTGACTCACTCGCGCTGTGACCTTAGGCGCCCTGCCGCTGGCCGCCGCTGCCAGAGCGGCTTCGGCAAGTTTTGCAAGGAAGCGCGCTGACAGCCGGCCCCGGGACGCTCTCGGCGCTGCCCTCCGGGCTGAGCTCGGCGGCACGCGCAGCCCACCTCCTCGCCAGTGTTCTTGAGTCCCTTCCCTAGCTCTTGAGATGAAGTGGCGGGCTGGCAGACCCTGGCGAGGAGGACCTGGGGGGTTGCGGGGCGTCCATGGGACCGGCATGGCGTTCCGGGGCGTCTGTAGAGGGGCCCCTGCCAGGTCCGTGGTGCCCAGAGCCTCGGAGACCTTCGCAGTGACGTGGAGCCACACCTACTGCCGGGCGCTTCGGGGTCCAAGTGCTGGGTGTCTGCACCCTCTCGTCCCCTCTCCCGGCCTCTCTTCTCCTTTGTTACCTTCTTGAGTCTGTTCCTTATTTGTAAGGTTAGGGGGAAGACAAAGTTTGCCCTGTAAGACTGAGAGTCAAGTAAGGTGATGTACTTTGCGGTGCTTCGCAGTTTCCCAAGTACTGCAAGAAAAAGACCTGATTCCTGCCGCTTCCGGCGGTAGCGGCTGGGACCTCGGCGCCGGCGAGCGGGGTCCGGGACCCCGCTGGGCTGGGCCGGCGCCTTGCTGCCTCTGGCTCTCAGTGAAGGGCCCTGATGGAGTGCGTTGGCCCCTTCGTGTTCCGGTAGCCTACGGTTTGGGAGCCAGCCGGACCTTTCTGGGGCTGTGTCCTTTCGGGAATACGAGTTTTCCTGAGATTACGGCCCAGCTACAACTGGTTTGCTGCGGGACCCGCAGGGAGCCCTGAGCCCCCGGAAACTGCACTCAGGGGTGCCCTTTGCTGGATACGTCCTCCGTATTGACATCGGATTCTTAGTCCCAGTTACTGAGTTAACGTTGCTACCTTGTTACTTACTGCGGCCGCATCCCGTCTACTTCCCTTTATCGGATACCTGCTTGGCCTGGGCCGCACTTGCCTGTTGACAGACTGTCTTGCGGAGCGCTCTGCGTTTGGTCCATTTGCCCTCAGCCTCCTCTTGGCTGTGACAGCTCCTGGCTTCCCCTGGCAGGTTTGAGGGGGTCTGCTCAGACTCATGGCAGGATGCCCCCTGTGGGGTTCGCCTGATGTTTTCACGGGGTCCGGCAGGGGTGGTGAGTTTGTGGGAGAAGTGTCCCTGTAGCACCCAGTGACAGTGTGATTTATGGCGGTCACGTGGCCTCGATGGGGACTGAGGTGCTGCCCAGCTGGTCCCTCCTCTGCAGTGACTGCACTTTGGCCATTTCACACCCTGCTCTTGTGGAGGGGGTGTTGGGTGCCAGGCAGACTTGGGAGTGGTCATGTCTGCCTGGAGGTGCGCTGACCAGATTGGCTGTGGGGGGTGTGAGAGAGCAGCAGCCCCCCCTGGGGGCTGAACAGACGTGAACAGGAGCGTTCGGTTCGGGAGGAGCGGCTGGGGAGCCTGGAGGTCTGGGAGTGGGTGCGTGGGAAAGGCCCGTGGCCCCCCGAGTGCTCTGCCTGCAGCAGCTGGGGTGGGGATTGGAGCGTGGAAGAGGGTGGTCTCCAGGCGGCCAGGTGAAGAAAGGTGTGGGGTGTAAAGAAATACAACTGGTTTCTGCCCCTCCCCCTGGCCTGGCCCACGCCTGCAAGCGGCGTGGACCGCACCGCCTGCTGCCGGAGCTCGGAAAGGCCGTGGGATTTCCAGAGCGACCCACACGTCTCCTGTGGTGTGTAGTGAGCCCCTTCTCTCCAACCTGAGTCTGTGCTCCTGAGGTGCCTGTGGTCAGTGGCCTGGACCTCCCAGCCCCACCCCCAGCCTCCAGGCAGAGGCTGGGTCTGCAGAATGAGTTCACTCACCACTGGCCAAAAACGTGACCCATCCCACCTGGGTGATGAGGGTGCAAACGCCTCATGGGGCTCGGGAGCTTCTGGGTGGGTGGCATTCGGTGGCCCCATGGGGACAGAAGCTCTTGCATTCAGGACTCTCCTGGACCTCCAGCTGTGTGCCTCTGGGTCGGGAGGTTTATCTGTGGCCTTTGTGGTACATTGCAACAGTAAGGAGAGCAGGATCCCCAGTCCTGCAGTGGTCCTGTGTCAAGTTACCAAAACTGAGGGGTTCGTGGGAACCCCTGCATTTGTCGTTGGCAGAGCGTGGGTGGCCTGGGCACCCTGCTTGCAACCGACACGTGAAGTGGGGCTGAGCCCTCCCCACCCCCCCGCCTCGGGGGTCTGTGCGGAGTCTGGGCAGCGTCAGCAGTGAATTGCAGGACACCCGGCTGGCATGGGAGGGTTGCTTACTGGACGGGAGACCACACAAGGGGGCTCCCAGAAGGAGGGGTGGCCCACGGACCACACCCTGCTGCTGCTGGGGTCTCCTCAGAAGGCTGGGGAGGCCCTCACAGTCTGGGGGGCAGGCAGAAGGGGTGTGTGGTTCACGCCGCTTGCAGAAGTGGGGCAGGCCAGGGGCCCTGGGAGCTGTGACGGCCGCCTTCTTACCGGACCGCCTGCACGGCAGGGGCTGTTTCTGGGTCCGCCGGAGGTGGGGGCTGCCCCAGGCTCAGGGGAGGGGGCTTCTCTTTGGGAGACACCAGGGGGGCACTCCCCCGCTGGAGTGGGGTTTTCTTCGCTGCGTGCTTCTAAATTTTGACTGAAACTACCCTCTGAATTCTGGCAGCTGAGCCCGTGAGCCCAGCTCCCACCCCAGGACTTGGCTGGCATCCAGCTGCAGGGTCCTGAGTTGAACGTTCGGTGGAGCCAGCCTTCTGCGCAAGAAGGGAGCTCCGCCTGGGTTGGCACTGGCCTCCTGTTGAATTATATAAGTGACCACTGGGAGCAGCAGGCGGGGTCTGCCTTGCCCGGCCTGCTCTGACGGTGCCCAGGCCCACCTCCCCTCTCCCCTCTCCCACTGGCTCCCAGGGCCGGCCTTCGGCCGCCCAGACCTGCTCCGGGCGCTCCCGCGCCCCCACCGGAGTCAGCCCTGCCCCTCCCAGACAGTTCCCAGCACGGGGTCTGGGCACGGGTGGGCCTGACCATCCGTCACGTGGATGGACCTTGAACTTTGGCTGGTGGGAACTAGAGCGATCCCACGTACACGGAGTCCTGACGTTGTGCTCTGTGCGCGTCGTCAGGGTTCAGCCCGGAGATGGCTTGCTCTTGGCACGTGTCCGTCCGTCATTGTCCGCCCTCGCACTGTGGGGCCGCCTGTGCGTGGGGCCACGTGTGCCCTGGCCTCTGCCCGCCGGAGCCAAGCCGGAGCAAGGGGCCTGGTGCCCCCTCTCGGGGGCAGACCCCGCCCCTGGCAGCGCCTGAAGCCCCCAGCATGCAGCCGGGCTCCCTGCGGCCCCCCTCACGGCCCGGGCGCCTCCCAGACGGGGGGCGGCATCCCCCGAGGGTGTCCACCCAAGATGACTCTCCCGTCTCCCTCGTTTCTGTTGCAGGTGGCCTGGGCGAGCACGCGTGTCTCAGCTGCGCCGGCACCCTGGGGCTGAGAAGCCACGCGTAAGTACTCGGGCGTCCGGGCGTCCGCCTGGGGAGCCGGCACCGCCTGCCCCCCCCCCCCACTGCCTCCCCTCCCTCGCTCGGCCCCTCCATGTGGAAGTGCGCGAGCACTCCCCCCGACGAGCCTGTGGGAAGCAGATGACAGTTTTCAGCCACAGACGTCGCTGGGGCTTTGGTGTGTGGTGTTCCGGTCGTCTTCCTCCTGGGTCCGGTTTCCCGACACCCAGCAGCACCCACGCAGCGTGTCTGCACAGGGTGCGTGCCTGGACGGGGCGGGTCTTTCCTGCTCTCGCTCAGCCGCTGCGCGTGGGGCCCGTCGTGGGTTGTGCAGAGGGAGGTGGGCAGGCGGCGGCATCGTCGCCGTGGGGCTCTGTCGGCCGCCCTGGGCAGGCCCCGCCTCACACCCACCGTCCTGCACTGGGGCACGTGCCCCCGCCGCGCTCTGGGGACACCGCTGGGACCTGGGGGACTTCCCTTTGGTGAGAGAGGTCCGTGGTGCTGCTGCAAGGCCGGAGGGCATCCTGGAGGCCGCGGCATCCGCCCTCCTCTGTCCACCACCCCATGCACACTTGAACTTCCTTGGGGGCTGCTGTGCTCTCCCACCCGCCATCCCCTCTGCCTGGCACCCCGGGGTGCCGTCTGCTTCCGGCCCCCTGTCGCGCCTGTGTTGGGACACCTAGACCTCCGTCCTGGCACCAGGTCTCTGTCCACCTGCCCGGACAGCCAGACCAGAGCTCCTCTCCCCCGACACCCCCGATTCTTCTGGCTGAGGGCCCGGGACCTCCTGGCCGAGTGCTGCCCGGCCGGCCCCTCACAGCCCCTTGCTGTGGAGCTGTGGGGTCTTGTGGGTTCCTCGCTTGTTTGAGATTATTAGTTCGCCACCTCATCTTGGATATGAAGCTTTTGTGGAGGATGCTTCCCGGGACAGATTTCATTTTCTAAAATAAAAACCGCACCAATCATACATGGAAACTTGCTTGGGAAAGCAAGCCCATTTTCCGTTCCAGGGCCTTACAGCATGCTCAGGTGCGCAGCCGGCCCGCAGGGCTGCCACCCACCTGCCGGTGTCTCTGCGGTGGCGCGGGGGCAGCGTCCCCCGGGGGTGCGGCGGAGCCTGCCCGAGAGCGCCCCCTGCTGCTGGTGCTGCGGCCCCGGGCCCCCAGGCCACCCAGGTTGCCGCAGCACGGGGCTCGCCCCGAGACCGCTCTGTCCGTGGCGTGGGGCCTCCGGTGTGTCCATGTAGCACGTCTTTACTTCCGGCCTTTCTAGATTTCACTCGGAAACGAGCTCGGTAGCCTGCCGGTGGCATTTCAGGGGCCTGGGGCCTGTGGGTGGCTGGAAACAGGGCGGCCCGGTGGCTGAGGGTACCGGCGCGTGGCCCCACAGGGCAGGGCAAGGTGGGGGTCCAGGTGTTTGTGGGAAGCCCCTGGGTTTGTTGCTGTTCCTGTTCTGTCTTTGCGGAGAGGGGACCAGAGGGAGAGAGGGGGAGAAGCGTCCGTGCGCAAGCAGGACATCGACCGGCTGCCGCTCCTGCGTCCCCTGAGTGGGGACCTAACCGCACCCTAGACGTGTGTCCTGACCCTGTGCTCTGGGGGGCGCCACCCAGCCCGCCGCGCCGCACCGGTCCGGCGGGGCACGGACTCTCTGCTTTCCGAGCACTGACGGCCGAGGCAGGTCGGGCCGCCGTGCGGCTGGCTGCCCTGCAGGAAGCAGGCCGCGGTGTGGGGACCTCAGAGCTCGCTTGCAGGGCCGGCATGCCTGGCCCCCCACGCGGGGCGTCTGTTGTCCGTGGTGGTCTGTGCCCCCCCTTCACCTTAGTCAGCTCTCCAGCCGCCTCTGGTCTCCGGGGGACCAGGCCCCGCACCTCTTCTTTCTGGACCGCCCCCAGTGGACTCGGGGGCTCCTGCAGGTCTTTGCTGGAGTGCCGCTGGGGTGCCGTTAAAGCCGTGAAGTCGCTGGGGAACAGGAGCTTCTGGAGCTGCGCGCCGCGCTCCCAGGTGTGAACGTCTCGTCGGGACCCTTTCCCTCTCCCAGAAGGAGGGCTGTCGTTTCCGTTCCCTGGGCCACACGTGCTGCCTCTCGGGCAGCTCCCGGCGTGACCCTCGGGGCGGGCCGGCAAGTCCGCGCAGGGTGTCCGCGAGGTAGGGGCACCTTTGTCCTTTTCACCGACAACCGTGTGGACTCGGACGTTCGACCGTGCCGGCCGTCTCCCCTGTGGTGGAACGTTGATCGCTCCCGGTTAACGTCCGGATTGGACCGCTGCCGACCCCAGCCGGCCTGCCCGGCCGTGGAGCGTCGTCCAGCGGGAGTGTCCGGCCCGGAAGTTCGCCACCACTGCCGACACGTGCCATCCTCCACAGCCCCTTCTCCGCACCCTGCACGGTTTTTGGCACTTCAGCCGTGTTTTTGCCTTTCTTGAAATAATTACACATAATGTGCCAAAAATGTTACATATTTTCTTCCATCTTCCCTCTTAAAAGGCTACACAAACATTCACCCATTTTGGTAAGTTTTTTTAAGTGCACGCTCATGTGACAGCTGTCACGATACAATCCAACAGAATTGTTTCAAATGAAGCTACAGGCAAGTGAGCGCTGGGAAAACCATCTTACGGAAAAAACAAAGTTTTTGGCTGACCCGGTTCATGGTGGTGGTGGTGGTGACGGTTCTCCCTTTTCCCAGTCTTTTCCTGGTGGTCGTTATGGGGTGGTCATTACGGGGTTCCATCTGCTTCCCTGTGCCGGCCCCTGTGGCACACCTCCGTGCCCCCCAGCCACCGTTGGGGCACCTCTGCAGGCAGCACCTGGGACCCTCCCCTCCCCGCCATTGTCTCTCTCTTCCTGGCGCTCCGGCTGCTGTGCTGCCGGCTCTCACCGCGGGGGCCCGCCAGGCCTGTGGCAGGACAGGACGGCGGGGCTGCTCTCGCAGCAGCAGCGACAGCAGCAGCACGGAGGGGCTGCTGCGGGCCAGCTCTGCGCGAGGTGGGCTGCTGCTGCTCCGCTGCGGAGTGCTCTCGTCGGGCGTGGGTGCTGAATCTGCCGGGTACCCCTGCAGGGGTCCGGCACACTGCGTCGCAGGTTCCCGCCGGGGCCCCACAGCCCCCGGTCTGGCGGCTCTGCTGAGGGAGGGCCGTCCTGATGCCCCGAGGCTGCGGGTCGAGGCTGCGGGTCGACCCCAGGTCAGGGCACGAGCCGGACTGGACTGGTGAGCGTGTGAGCGAAGGGGCAGCAGGCCCCTCCCCCGCCCCCGCCCCCGCCCGTCCTCCTCTCCAGTGCGTCAAGTTAGAAGAAGCGGAAGTTGTGCTTCATGGATGCAACTTTCTTATAAGCTCATAATTTTTAGAAAGTTAAACAGGAAGAACAACAAGACTTTTGCTGATCTCAATGCAGTTCAAACTAGGAGTCGTAGATGAGAGTCAACACCTTACGTCTCCGTGTCCCCAGCTTTGTTTTTCCCTCGCCCCCCCGAGCGAGAGCCCTGGAGGCACGCAGGGGAGTGGCTGCGGTGGTGACCGTTTGTGACCGTCCTGTGGACCCGTCTCCCGGGGTGGTCCGGACCCTGCGGGGCGGGAAGGGGGAGGGTTTCCAGTCCGAGACCCCGTCGTGGACTCCACCTCGCCGCCCCGACCGCCTGTGTCCCGGCAGAGGGCGGGGCGGGAGCACCCGGGCGCCCAGCCAGCCCTTGGGCGGAGAAGCGGTGTCCGCTCCGCAGCCTCGCGCAGCGGGAAGGCCGGTGGGTGCGGGGGGCTGTCGTGCTCCTGCGTCTCACTCGGTGTGGCCGCTCCCCAGACTGGGGGAACACTGGCGTGTTGGCGACCGGTGCCCCCTGCACGCGCGACACTGGGGGTCTCGGGGCCTCTCGTCCCCGGGCAGGGAGGCTCTGCTCCTCTGGAGCCTCCCTCCTCAGTCCAGGCGCTGCTGGTGCCACTTCCTCTCTGCTGGCCGTGGGTCCCGGAGGAGCAGGGTTGCTTGTGAAGGGTTGGCACCCTCTCAGGCCAGGCCAGGGCCGTTGTCTTGGGGAGCTGTCCCCTCCAGGGGGGCCTGCCAGCCGGAGCTTAGTCGCCTGCAGGGCTGTGCCGGTGGCACGCTCACACCTGGCTGCGGGGCAGGGGTGGGGCTGTGCCGCCAGCCCTCGGGACGGGCTCCTCCGCCCGGTGCTGCCGAGTCTCCTCGCACGGGCCGGTGTCCTCAAGTCAGACAAGCCACTGATGGACATCCCCGAGCTTTTTTAAAACTATAGTTTAAAAGACTTAGTTTTTAAAAATGATCATATTGTTCAATTATAGTTGTCTGTACTTTCTCCCTACCCTTAAAGATTTTATGCATTTATTTTTAGAGAGGGGAAAGGAGGGAGGAAGACAGGGAGAGAAATGTCAATGTGTGGTTGCCTCTCGCACACCCCCATTGGGGTTCTGGCCCACAACCCTGATTGGTGTGAGCCCCGACTGGGAATCAAACCCACAGCCCTTTGGTTTTCAGGCTGGCGCTCAGTCTGCTGAGCCACACCAGCCAGGGCTAGATGGGAGCTTTTAAAATAGTAAATGACACAGCTCTGTCCTTTTGAAAATGGCTAAGCCTTTCTGGCTGGAGCGGCAGTGATAATCTCCCCAGCGTGCTTGTGGGCAGCAGCCGGGGCCTCGCAGCCCCCGCGGGGCCCGCCGTGCGCTCCTCGGCTCAGTCCCTCTGCGCACGTCCGTCTGCGCGTGCTGGCCGCCCCGGCCACCGCTGATGCCAGGTCTCCTCGCAGGGGCCACTCGCCGCGGTGCCGCTCGAGGGGTGGGAATTGGATATCCCGCCCGAGGGCTGGCTTGGCGAGGCCGGGAGCGAGGTCGCACTCCGGGTGTGGGCGCCGCCCTCACTGCTCTGAGAGCTGCGGTGGCCCCGGGCCGCTGGCCGCGGCGTCTCCCAGCCGCAGGCGGTCGGGGGGCGTCGCCGCTGCTCTCCGGGGTGACTGTGGGGCGGGGGGGGGGGAGAGTTGGAGGGGCCTCTCCAGGACGGGGGAGGCTGGCAGGGGCTGGTCGGTGGGGGGCTTCCGTGCCTGGGGCCGGCTGTACCTGCCCAGCACGGGCCACGCACTTGCCCTGCAGCAACCCCCCCCCCCCGCCCGTGAACGGGGCGGTTGCACTGGCAGCCCCCCAGCTTTCTTCCAGCCCCGACCGGCGGCTTCCTGGAGGTTTGGGTGGGGCAGTGGGAGCAGCCGCCGTCTCTGTGCTGGGCATCACTGTGCACCGGACAGCGTCCTGGGTGCTCCGTGTGTGGGTGCAGCAGGACGCACCTTCACAAAGGACGCTGTTGGAGCACAGAGAGGCTGAGGCACTTCCCAAGGCCACACAGCCATAAGTAGTGCCGGGAGCTCGGGTCTGTGTGGTGGGCTCCAGCCAGGTGCTGAGAGCCCCGCTGGGAAGGAGCTGCAGCGCCTCTGGGGTTCGCGGGAGCCTGCGGCCCCCTAGCGGTGGGTTTGTGCACTGCAGGGAGAGGCTCCTGGTGCCGTGCAGGGCCGTCCCTGGGAGACTGGCCCTGGAGGAGGGGGGCCGGCTCCTCTGTCCCAGTTTGCGCCGTGCGCGGTGAGCACAAACCCTGCGCTCCGGCCAGGCACCGGGTGCTGCGGGCAGGTGCCACGCGTGCAGCTGCGCCCCACCAGGGTGGGCAGGCTGGCCTGCTCTGGCTGCCGGCGGCCCAGGCCGCTGCCCTGTGGGCTTCCGAGTGTGGGCAGAGAGGGCTCTGAGGTGCTCACCTGCAGACGCCCCTGGGCCCACGGGGCCTGATGGAGCCCTCCCGGCCGGCGCGGGCTGGAGTGTGCGGGATGGAGTCGGGGTGGCGTGGCCTGGGGGGACAGGGCTGTGGGTGGGGGCGGCGAGAGCCCTGGGCCTGCCTGGGTGCTGCGGGGGCGGGGCTCCGGCGAGGAGCAGGGGGGGAGGGTGGGCTGCCGCTCCTGGTGTCCGCCGTGCCGCACCAGTGCCTCTGGGCCGCTGGTTCAGGGCCCGGGTCACCCTGGACGGGGCCTCCTCGCCGGTCCTCGGGACCTGCGGGTCTTTGCAGAAAATCACCTGTTGGGGGAGGGGGCTGCCGTGCCCCACACGCCACCTTCCGGGCCTCAGCCCGCGGGAACAGGCCTCCGGCCGCCCCTCGGTCTGTCTGTCCCCAGCCCTTGGCTGCTTGTGTTTGTGTCCACTCCGCCCCCCGCCCTGGGGCGCGGGCAGCCCCTTCACCCCAGCTCTGGAGGGGCGCGGGGGCGGGGGCTGGGGGACGTTGGGTCAGAGATGCCACTCTTCCCCCGTTTCCAGGCGCTGCTCCCCTGTCCCGCTGGGCTGGGCCCCCCTGCACCCCAAGTACTTCTGCTTCGGAGGCGACCCCCTGGGCCGCCGGACGCCGAGGCTCCAGCGCGCAGCCGCGGTGGCCCGAGTGCAGTGGGCGCCGGGCTCAGGGGGCCTGCTGGGCCCCGCGCCACGGCTGCTGCCCGCACGCTGCTGGCACGCGTCGCCCCCGCGGGGTGACGACTCGGTGGTGGAGAAGTCGCTCAAGTCCCTGAAGGACAAGAACAAGAAGCTGGAGGAGGGGGGCCCGGTGTACAGCCCGCCCACGGAGGTGGCCGTGAAGAGGTCGCTGGGGCAGCGGGTCCTGGACGAGCTGCGGCACTACTACCACGGCTTCCGCCTGCTCTGGATCGACACCAAGATCGCCGCGCGCATGCTCTGGCGCATCCTCAACGGCCACACCCTGACCCGGCGCGAGCGCCGCCAGGTAGGGCACGCGGCCCCCTTAGCCCCCCCCCCAGGCGTTTCCCTGGGGGCCCGGCTGCCCGCGGCCTCGGGCTGCTTTTCTGGGTCAGTGCCATGGGTCAGTGCCTCTGGCTGGGGGGTCACTCCAGGCAGGGAGTGGGCTCCTGGGCAGCTGCCCCGTAGGCCGCAGCGGACGGCAGTGGCCCTCAGGAGCTGCCCCTCGAGCCGTTGGGGGCCTGGGGCTCCCAGCCGCACAGGCCGCCCGGTGACCTCGGACCCCACTGCTCTCGGCAGTTTCTCCGGATCTGCGCCGACCTCTTCCGCCTGGTGCCCTTCCTCGTCTTCGTGGTGGTGCCCTTCATGGAGTTCCTCCTGCCCGTCGCTGTGAAGCTCTTCCCCAACATGCTGCCCTCCACGTTTGAGACCCAGTCCAGCAAGGTGGCCTCCCTTGGCAGCGCCGTGGCATTCCGTGCTCCTTCGTGGTTGCCGTGCGGCGTCAGGGGCACCCCCCAGGCGCCGGGGCTCGGGCCTGTCCGTCCTAAACGCATTCGAAAGCAGGGCTCCCCCGGACCCGGGTCTTCAGCCCGGGCCGAGGCCCGTGCGTGGGGGCGGGGCCCGGGTTGGTCCCCGGCCGTGCGGGCCTGCCTGTTTCTGCCAGTCCGGTGCTTTGGGGACCCGCGCCCCCAGCTGCGTGTGCACTCTGGCCGGCCCTGCTTGGGTCCCATGGAGCTCGAGGGACTGGGAGCTGGGGGACCGGGCTCCAGCACCCTGCCTGGGGTTCCCGGGGACGGGTGCGACGCCCTGTGTCTGCCCCGCAGGAGGAGAGGCTGAAGAAGGAGCTGCGGGTCAAGCTGGAGCTGGCCAAGTTCCTTCAGGACACCATCGAGGAGATGGCCCTGAAGAACAAGGCAGCCAAGGGGAACGCCACCAAAGATTTCTCCGTGTTCTTCCAGAAGGTGCCCCCACTCTCCAGAGCCCTGCGTGCACCTGCCTTACCTGGGCGTGGCCCTCATCGCCCCGCTCCCTTCCTCTGCTGTAGCGGCAGGGGCGCCCCTGGGTGGGCAGTGGCCCCTGCCTTCACGCCCGGCGAGGCTGAGCCTCCGCAGAGAGCATGACCCCTGACACCCACTCACCTGCCTGTGTCTGCCCCTGCGGCAGCCCCCGGCGCGGGCGGTTCGGCACATGAGAGGTGTGAAGACCTGCCGTCCCGCCGGGCGTGGGGGCCGGGCTGGGGGAGGACGGGCCCCGGGGCTGCCCCACAGCCACGTCCGAGGCGGGAGAGGGCGGTGGGGCCTGCTGGTGGGCCGGGGGGTGCCCACGGCCTCCTCCGGTCACTGGCCTGGCCCCACGGGCCAGGCCTCTGGGAGGTGGAGCCTGCGGGGGCCGCTCAGAGGGAGGGCCCAGTGGAGCCGGCGCTCCCAGCCCCGCCCCTGCTTCCTCCCGGGAGGGGCGGTGTGGGGCGGGCGCGTGCGTGTGTGCGTGCGTGCGTGCGTGCCGGGGAGCAGGCCTGCGCTCCCTGGGCCGCAGGCAACCCTGGCCCCTGCTCGGCAGATCCGGGAGACCGGGGAGAGGCCCAGCAACGAGGAGATCCTGCGCTTCTCCAAGCTGTTCGAGGACGAGCTGACGCTGGACAACCTGACGCGGCCGCAGCTGGTGGCGCTGTGCAAGCTGCTGGAGCTGCAGTCCATGGGCACCAACAACTTCCTGCGCTTCCAGCTCACCATGCGGCTGCGCTCCATCAAGGCCGACGACAAGGTGGGCCGTCCTGGGCGGCGGGAGGGCGGGCTGGTGGCGCGCCGGCCCCAGACCGCGGCTGTCCCCGCCGTGTGCGGGTGCGTGCGAGCCTGCGGGGGGGGGGGGGGGCGACCGCGTGGGGCTGTGCGGTCCCCACGGCTGCTCCCTGGCGGCCGGGGTGTGGTGGGAGATGTCACTGTGAGCGAGGAGCGGGGGCCAGTTGCCCGCCACCGGCACCCTCTGACCAGGGAGTCACACCCGCGGCCTCGGTGTGTGCCCTGACCAGGAACCCAACACACAGCCTTCGGGTGTGCGGGGGCGGCGCTCCAACCCAACGAGCCCCCCGGCCGCGGAGAAGGGGCGAATTTTAATGCTCCCCGTGGGCCTGCGGGAGGCCAGCTCACGCTCCAGGCCAGCTCACGCTCTGTGCCAGCCCGGCCCGGCCCGCGGACAAGGGCCCTAACCCCGGCTGGGCTGTGCCGGCTCTCCGGCGCCCCACGGGCATGGCTGCCGCGTCTCGCTGTCCCTGGCTTCCCCTCAGGCCGGTCCTGGGGAGGTGCTCCTCGGGGCGGGGGCGCTCACAGGTTGTCCCGAAGGGTCTGTAGGGACGGGGGGCACTCGTCTCCGGGGTGCTCGTCTCCGTGGCGCTCGTCTCCAGGGCGCTCGTCTCCAGGGCACTGGTCTCTTGCGTGCTGCGGACTCTGCCCCCGGGAGGGCGCTCAGGACGCCTGATCTGCCAGGGAGCTCGGGGCCCGTGGGGGCAGTGCTCCGGCGGCCGTCTCAGCCCCGCGCCTGAGGAGAGCCCGCGGCGAGGCCGCCCCCAGGAGAGGCAGCGCAGGGGCAGCCGCTCACTCGCCCTGTGACCTCGGGCGAGTCCTCTCGCCCCCAAGTGCCTCAGACTCCGCCGGGATGGACCTGCAGGCAGACCGCCGCGGCCGAGAGGGCAGAGGGGCACACGGTGCCGGGCAGGAAGCAGCACGCAGACGCGAGGAGACTCTGAGACGTGGTGGGGGGGAGCCCCGGGGACCCCAGGGTGGACACGGCGGGGCGTCTCGGCGCTCACAGGTCCCAGCCTTGCGGCTGCAGGTGCTGGCAAGGGCAGAGCCCACTCTGCCCCGCGAGCAGGGCGGGCCGCCCAGCGGGACAGAGGACTCCGGCCGGGCACCTCCACCCCACTTGGCAGTCCCAAGACGCTCCCCGCCCTCTGCGGGGTGGGGTCAGAGGCCAGGTGGGGCCAGCGACAGGGCGCTCTTGCCCCTCCCGGCAGAAACTGGACGCCTCTCTCCCGGGGCCTGCCAAGGCCCCTGGGCTGCAGCTCCCCGGGTTGGCAGGTGGTGCTGCGGGCTCGGTGCCCGTGAGGGCCTGTTGTTCGTGGTTCCCTGGAAGTGGCCACAGCTCCACTCGGGACCCCCGGAGACCTGGGCAGGCCAGGCCCAGGAAGCAGACGCAGCGGCGAGGGGCGGCGGAGGACGGGGTCCTGGCCTTCACAGCTGCTGTGGTGGGCGTGGCCAGCGGGGGCGTCCTGGGTGGGGCGGGGAATGGGACACACAGGCTGGGGCGTGCGGCCAGGGGGTCTCAACCACGGTTGTCCCGCTCCCACCGCAGCCGGGCTGCTTGGGAAACGTGAATAACTGTGGCTGTCGGGCTGGACCCACCGATGCTGTCACCAATCACAGAATCTACCTGTGACCCCGAGTCCCAGTGGGGGCATGTCTAGGAGGCGGCCGGCCGGCGTCTCTCTCTCTTTGTCTCTCTAAAACCAGTGACCGCGGTGTCCTCTTCAGGCGAGGACTGGAAACGGTGTCGGCTGGGTGGCCCAGTGGCTTACAGTGCCACCCCAGTGCACTGGGGCCCTCTTCTCCCTCTGGCGCCCCCAGGTCCCGTGCCCTGTGTCCGCAGACCCTGAGCAGGCTCCGGTAAGGGTGGGCTGCGGGGCGAGGGCGCGTGCTGGCACCCGGCAGGCGAGGCCCAGGTCCCCGGCCCACCCTCTGCAGGGTCTGGGCGCTCCGACCCTTGTCTCGGGGCGGGCCCTGGCCACCCGGCGCTCCCCCAGGCGCCTCCCCGTCGGCAGCCCCATCCCTGCGAACCAGGGCCAGGCCCCGGCCTGTCTGCCACCCGGCAGAGCTCGTCAGGAGGGGGCTGGGGACGGGCCGTCGCACCCACGGGCGTGTGGCACGGCGCCGCAGGCCACCGGTGGCGCTCTGAGATGGGGACGGCGGCCTTGTCTTCCAGCTGATCGCCGAGGAGGGCGTGGACAGCCTCAACGTCAAGGAGCTGCAGGCCGCGTGCCGGGCGCGGGGCATGCGGGCCCTGGGCGTCACCGAGGACCGCCTGCGGGACCAGCTGAAGCAGGTGTGCGTCGCGGGCCCACGCGGCCCCCCCCCCCCCACCGTGTCAGCCCAGTGTTGGCTCGTGGGGCAGCTGGGAGGGGATGGCGGGCGCGTCCTGGGCCTGGGAGGGCCGCCGTGGCCCCTGCCCATTTCTGGCCGCCTCGGGCCTGGTCCTGGAGGCGGCTCCGACCCTTCTTGGCAGCGTGTGGTCGGTGGTTGTGCCCCTTCTGCCCCCGTCTGTGCCCGGAGGGGGATGCGGCTGACTACCTGCAGCCCGGGGCTCGTCCCCCCCACCCCGGGCCGGGGTCCCAGCGCCCCCCTGGCCCCTCCAGCAGCCCGGGGGCCGCTCCGCCCACCCGCTGCCTTCAGACCTCGGACGGGCGGCATGAGTCACAGAACGAGGCAGCGAACCAGCCCGGAGCAGGGCTCCAGGGTCAGAGCCCTGCCCCGGCCCCGGGTGTGGGTGGGAGGAGGCCCGAAGGTAAGTCCCGGTGTCAAACTCCCGATTCCAGTGGCTGGAGCTGCACCTGCACCAGGAGATCCCGACCTCGCTGCTCATCCTGTCCCGGGCCATGTACCTGCCGGACACCCTGTCGCCCGCTGACCAGCTCAAGTCCACGTTGCAGACCCTCCCGGAGATAGTGGTGCGCTCGCCAGGGGACCTTTCCTTCGCCCGCGCCCCTGAGTGTGGGGGCCCTCGAGCACCACCCGCCCACCCTCTGGCCTCGGGGCCCCCGTGCCCCACCCACTCACCCTTCCCCTCCTCCCGGGCCTGCCCTGACCCCTGACCCTGAAGAGCGAGGGGCGTCCCCGGGGCCTGGAGTAGTTTCCCGGTGGGGTGTCCTGCCCCCCCGAAGGCCGGGTGCAGCCCCTCACCCCGGCCTCTCCGGCGGCGGCGTGCCCCGGCTCACTGCCAGCCGTGACCTGTCTGCAGGCGAAGGAGGCGCAGGTGAAGGTGGCTGAGGTGGAGGGGGAGCAGGTGGACAACAAGGCGAAGCTGGAGGCCACGCTGCAGGAGGAGGCGGCCATCCGGCAGGAGCTCCAGGAGAAGGAGCTGCAGAGGCTCTCTGAGGCTAAGGTGAGGGCCGGGGGCCGGGGGCGGGCCGGGGCGGCTGGGGGCCTCCACCTCCTACAGAAACTGCCTCACGCGGGTGCCCAGAGCCCTGCAGCTCCGCCCTTCCCATCTTCCTGGAGTGGGGGGGGCACGGGGCAGGGGGCAGGGGGGGCGGGGCGCTGGGCAGACGAGGCCTGGCCGCCCCTGAGCTGGCCCTGGCCTGTGTTTCAGAAGGAAGCAGCACCGCAGGTGGCAGAAGCTGTCCCTGGGAGGCCCGTGGCCGAGCTGCAGCCGGAAGCCCCAGACGTGGTCCTGCCATCAGAGGCCCTGAAGGACACGGCCCCCGTCCTGCAAGGCGTGCAGGTGAGCGGTGCCCTCACCCACCCGGGGGCAGGAGCAGCAGGGGGGCACGGGCTGCCGGTCACGGGCACTCGGGCCCCGTGTGCTCCAAATGGCGGGCCCCCCGCCCCAGCGGGAAAGGGGGTCTCGGGCCCCTCGTCAGCCAAGTGGGGCAGTGGTGGGGACACTGTGTGGGCCCTCCACAGAGGCTCGTCTCCTGTCACCCTCGGTCATCTCCTCTGGTGGCCTGGGATGGGTGGTGTACCCGGGGGGTGCCGGTCTCTGGGGTCCTTGCCCTCCTGGTGCAGCCTGCTCCCGCCGTGGAGACAGACTCCCCCCATCTGCAGCTCCCCGGTGGGCGGAGCAGCTTCTGGGCATGCTGTGGCCACGAGGTGTCTGCTGGCCAGATGGTCCCGGCAGCGCGGGTGGGACAGCAAGGCCAGGGGCTGCGGGAGGGGCCGGGGGGGTGGCACCTGAGGTGGACTCTCGACAGGCAGCGCGGGCTGGCCAGGGGCCTGGGCCGGGGGGGCTGTGGGGCAGCGGCCGGGGGAGCTGCAGGGCGCAGCGCTGGGGGCCGAGGCCTCGGGAAGGTTCGGACTCTTCCCGAGAGAAGACGGGCCCCCCAGACCGGGGACCCTTGTGGTCAGCGGGCTGCAGCCTGCAGGGGCAGTGTGTTGGGCGGTGGCCGTAGGTGGGGTAGGGTGGGGCTGTCCAGAGCCTTGGGGGCTGCTTTGGGACACTGGGGTGGCCTGGAATAAGCTGCGGGCGGGGGGCTCTGCTGCACCCCGCTGACAGCCGTGAGGCCTGGAAAGAGGCCAGGCCACTCCTGGGACACGGCCCAGGGGACAGTTGGAGGCAGACATGGGTGCCAGCGTGACGAGCCTTGAGGAAAGGGGCAGGTCCGAGGGCCCTGGCTGGGCTGGCAGGGAGGGGCCCGGGGCCGGGGACAGAGACACCAGGGTCGTGTTGGGGGTAGGGACGGCCGGGCCGAGGGGAGACCGGCAGGGGCCGGAGGAGGGAGCACCGTCAGGCGGCCCGGGACAGCCGCCGTCACAGACACGCAGGCAGGCAGACGCACCCCGTTTCCTGGGGCCGGGGCTCGGGCCCGAGGACAGTGTGGACTCCCGGGAGAGCCTGGGGACCCCGCGCTGCCGCAGACGCGTTGGCGGGAAGTGCAGACTGGGGAAACGAGGGCACGGAGCCAGGGCTCGTGGAGGGGACAGGCGGGGGGGGGGGCGAGGAGGCGGCGGGGGGGGCCCCTCGGGTGCAGGAGCGGCTCTGCCCCCGCCAGGGAGGGCCGCTCGTGGCTGCGGAGCTTCCACAGACGCCGCCCAGCCCCGTCTGCTGGGGAGCGGCCTTGTGGCGCCGCGGGGTGGGGGGAAGGGGCGTCCCCAGCTCCTTCCCAGGCGAGCACAACCCCCGCCCCAGGCCGGACCAGACCTGACCTCCGACCCAACCCAGGGAGCCGGGCTCGCATCTGAGGAGCGCAGGGCTGGGAGGCTCCGCCCAGCCAGCGAGTGCCAGGCGGCTGTTCCCCGCAGAGGGCACGCCCTGCGGCTTCGTGGGGTTCTGCAGGAAACAAAGAGGCGGTCTGTGTCGTTCGAGGGCTAGCAGAGTCGGGAGGACACCGTGAGCGGTCACTCCCGTGGGCAGGGGGACGCGCCAACCGCCCAGCGTGTGTTTTCCGGCGGAAAGCGTCCCAGGAGGCCGGGAGGGCCCTCAGCCCCGCGGGGCCCCGAGCGCTGACACGCTGGCGCACCGCCCGCCCTCGCCACCCTGCTCTGGCGCCGCGGGCCTGGCCGGGCCGTGGTGGGAGGCGGGGAGTGAGCCGGTCAGCGAGGAGGAAGTGAGGCCGCCCGTGTTCACGGACAACCTGGGAACCAGTGTGTCTCTGCGCCCGTAACGAATAGTCAGAAACTGTGCACCTCAAAAGCACATTGTTTTTTTTTTAAGGTTTTACTTATTTTTAGAGGGTGAGGGAGGGAGAAAGAGAGGGAGAGAAACACTGATGGGCGAGAGATGCACCCATGGGTTGCCTGTCATACCTCCCCCACTGGGGGCCTGGCCCGCAGCCCAGGCCCGTGCCCTGACTGGGATTCGAACCGGCGACCTTTCAGTTTGCAGGTCTGCGCTCAGTCCCCTGAGCCGCACCAGCCAGGGCTCAAAAGCATGTGGTTTACAGTAACATTGAAGAAAGAGACTGCTTGTGGGCAGGTTTGAAAATAAGTATGGAAGACCCACGTGGTGAACTCTGCCAACGCTGCGGACACACTGTGTGCGGTTGTGCCGCAGCTTCCGCTCCCGCAGGGGTGGGGACTCGGCAGGAGGCTGGTGCCCCGGCTGCTCCGCAGGCGGAGACCAGTGCGGCCCCAGCATGCTCCCCTGTCGGGGTCACAGTCGCTCCGGGGCTCTCACGGGAGGTCAGAGAGCCTGGGACAGCCAGGGCAGTGGGGGAGCCGGTCTGGCGTCCCCTCTGGGTGGGGCCCGCACTGTCCGCGGTCACGGGGACATACCCAGGGACCTCGGCGTCGGAGCGCAGTCAGGAGGAGTTCCGCCTGTGTGGGGTTCCTGCGCCTCGGACCTGACTCTCGACAGGAGGCAGGTCAGGGTGTGCGTGGGGGTCCCGGGTGCGAGGAAGCCTGGGGGGACAGGTGTCTCCCCCTCGGCGGTGACGGTCGCACGAGTGTCCACGTGCCGGGCGGCACATCCTGTCGAGGAGGAGAGGGCGGGGCCTGTGCCCGCAGCCCGGAGGCCGCCACAGGCCCCGGGGTCCCCTCCACCGGCGCCTGTGCTCTGTCCCCTCCCAGGGAGAGGAGATCACCAAGGAGGAGATCGACCTCCTCAGCGACGCCTGCTCGAAGCTCAAGGAGCAGAAGTCGTCCCTGACGAAGGAGAAGCAGGAGCTGGAGCTGCTGAAGGAGGACGTGCAGGACTACAGCGAGGTGCGGGCGCGCTGGGCGGGGCCGCGAGGGGTGGCGCGGGGGGGGGGCGGCGTCTGCGGAGAGGGGGCTCTGGGCGCGGCTCGCTGTGTCCAGGCGGCGGCCCCGTGCCCCCTGGTGACGACCAGCTCTCCTCGTCTGCGGTGCCTTCGGCTCCTGCGGGGTGGGCGGAGGGGCCTGGTTGGCCGGCGCTGGGGGTCTCACCCCCACTCCTGACGCCCACTTGCTCTCGTGCTGGGGACTGCGGTGTTCTTTTTCACGGGAACACGTCTTTTTTACTCACGGGCAGTGCTTCCCCACCTGACTTCAAAGAGCCACGTTCTCACGGCTCTGCGGGGAGAAGGGGACGAGTTTTGAGCTTGGCGAAAATAACCGCCACCGTCCCAGCTTTCTCCTGACACGGCCCTCTGCTCTGGGCTCCGCCAGGAGCCGGGGGTCTGTGGGGACCCAGCCTCCTCCCCGTCCCCCCTCCCCCGCCCTCGCCGCTCCTGGCGGAGGGGCGTGGGGTTTACGAAGACTCGCATCCTTCTCGGATGCTCCCGTGCGTGAGTTCTTCGGCGGTCAGGCACGCGGAGGCTCAGCACCACTCCCACTCCCGCTCCCTCCCCCACAGACACGGTGCGGGTCCGTGGGGCCAGAGCACGCTGTGTGCCCGCCGCCAGGCGGCCCCCACGGCGGGGACGGCACTTCTCCGGCACAGGCTGCGGCTTGTTGCCGTCGGCGCTGGTTCCGATTAATTACAGGGCGAACCTCATCGTGAGCGTCTTTAAGACCATCTTCTTACGACGAGATGCTTCCCTTAGGACTTGCAAGAGATCAAGAAGGAGCTCTCTAAGACGGGCAAAGAGATGGAGGTGGAGGAGTCCAAAGCCAGCAAGCGGCTGACCAAGCGGGTGCAGCAGATGATCGGGCAGATCGACGGGCTCCTGGCGCAGCTGGAGGCCGACCAGCAGGCCGGCAAGCTGGGCGCAGCCACCCCAGGCTCGCCCGAGGGGTGAGTGTGGGCGTGGGCGCCGGGACTGCCTCCGCCTCCCAGGGGGCCGCAGCCGACCCGCAGCAGCAGCCCGGCCCCGGGCTCCGGGTCGTCCTCAGGCTGCGGGCCCTTCACCTGCGGGCGGGGCCTGCGTTGCCTCCTGGGTCGGCCTGCTGTGCTGTGTGGGCCCCCCCCCTCGCCCTCCCCGGTCAGGGGCAGCTCCCCCACACTGCCCCCGGCGCAGACAGGCCTGAGGGAGGCTGCCCGGGGCTCTCGGGGTCCCAGCCGGCCGGGCGTGCTCCCAGGAAGGGGGGGCTGGCCTGGGAGCCTGGGGCTCGGGTGCGGGCGGTGCCACACACAGGCCTGCCCTCCCCCAGGGAGACCGTCATCAGCGTCGGCGAGCTCATCAGCGCCATGAGGCAGATCAAGCACATTCCGGAGAGCAAGCTCGTCAGCCTGGCCTCGGCGCTGGACGAGAACAAGGACGGCAAGGTCAACATCAACGACCTCGTCAAGGTGGGTGCGGCCCCAGCGGGGGCAGGGCCCTCAGGCGAGGGTGTGGGGTGGGCGGGCCCCCAGCAGAGGAGGGGGGCCCACTGGGCCCGGCGGGGACGAGCACTGGCACTCGGGGCTCCAACAGCCCCTCCCCTGGACAGCGTGCCCCTACAGCCTGGGGCCCAGACACGCACTGCGCCCCTGGGGGCCCGCGCCCTGGGGGCTTGGGAGCCTGTTGGCCCCCCCGGGAGGCAGGGGCCTGACCGCAGGGGCCCTGGTGGGCCCGGGCAGCACCGAGGCTGTGGCCGTCTTGGCCGGCGGCCGAGGACACAGACCCCGAGTCCCATCCTTCCCTGTGCAGGTGATCGAGCTGGTGGACAAGGAGGACGTCCACATCTCCACCGGCCAGGTGGCCGAGATCGTGGCGCTGCTGGAGAAGGAGGGCAAGGTGGAGGAGAAGGCCAAGGCCAAGGAGAAGGCGGAGAAGGAGGCCGCCGAGGTGCAGGGGTAGCCGCCCGCGGCCCGGCCCCGGCTGCTGCGAGGCGACCCCTGGGGACGCGGCCAGTGTTTGTCTGGAATAAACCAGAAGCGCCCGTCATCAAGTAACTTAGTTTTCGCCATTCCACGGAGAGTCGGCCTGGACCCCCAGCCCCCGGGAGCCGTGTCTACAGCGTCCTCACTGCGGCCGCCCCGGGAGGAGCGAGGACCCGCCCTCGGCCCCGGCAGGACGTCCAGTCGGCGGCTCGCACGCCCGGGACGCGGTGTCGGCGGGGTCGCGGGCGCGTCTCCGGAGACCCGGCTGCCGAGGAGACGCCGGACCGCGCTCTGGCGGGGCCGTCGGTGCCCGTGCAGGCTTCCGCTCCCTGTCGTGTCGGCCCCTCCAGGTCGGTCGGCGCGTGCCTCCGCCTAACCCCGCACTGACTAACAGGCACAGCGGCCCCCACGGCCGGCCCCACTCGCGTCCCAGATGTAAAGTGGGGCCGTGGCTCCAATGAAGCCGTGAGAACGAAGCGTTTCCGTCTGAGTGGTGGTTGTGCTCGGGCGGCTTTGGAAGGGTTCCTGCCTGGGCCGGCGGCACCTGGCCGCCCCCTTGGTCCACTGGGGCGGATGCCCCTGCGTCCGGGGTCCCTCGGGGCCTGGCCTGTCCAGCCCTGCCGCCCGAGGGCCCCCTCCCCAGGGGCAGGCTGGTGGCCACTCCTGGCCCTGCAGGGGGGCACCCCAGGGCTTGTGGAAAGGCCCAGGGTGCAGCCCTGGCGCCCTGCGGCCTCAGGCAGGGCCGCTGCACGAGGGCGGGTATGGCCGGGCGTCCTGTGGCCTCAGCTCTGTCGGACCCGCCCCTCGGAGGCCGGAAAGGTCGTGCAGGGCAGGGGTGTCGGACTCATTTTCACCCGGGCCACATCAGCCTCGCGGCTGCCTTCGAGGAGCCGCAGCGGTCTCGGGCCTGTGCACGTGCCCCGCTCAGCTCCTGGAGGAGCTGAAGTTACGCTCGTCCCTGGGAAGGCCACACGAGGCTGACGTGGCCGCTGACTTGGGGGCCCACACGCGGGAGACGGCCAGAGCGGCCAGAGCGGCCGGACCCGCTGGAGAGCGGCGGGAGACCCAGAAGTGACGGCCGCTGCGCTCCCGGAAGTGGGTCGCCGGCCCCAGGAGACGGGCCGCGCAGGGACGCGGCATGCACCCCCGCGTGAGCCCCTGCGGCGGCAGTGGCCCGCGGCTGTCCCCTCCGGCCCCGCGGTCCGCCCGGGCGCCTCCCTCACGTCTGTGCCCCGCCCCGCCCGTTTCTGCGGCCTGGTGTCTGGCCGTCCTGGTCCTGGCTGGGCGCCCTGTGCGTCCCCCCTGCTGCCCTCCCAGGTCGTCTGCAGCTTCCGGGGGGGGGGGGCCTCGTGCCCGGGGCGGCAGGGCTGCTGCTGGAGCTGCCTCCGGCTGTGCGGCCGGCGGTGGTCTGCCCCCTCATCTCTGTGTTTGCTTCCACTGTCCTCTACCCCCACCCCTCTCACCGCGGCCGGGGCCAGCGCCCGGGCCAGCGCAGGAGCCGGTGGGCCCGGGGAGGGGAGCCTCGTGGGGCGGGGGCCTGAGGGGCGGCTGTGTGGGCTGCGCACGGGTGCTGGCGTCCCCCCTGCCGGGGGGCGGAACGGGAGCGCTCCACACGTGTCTTCACGCGAACCCCCGCCTCTCCGCGGGGTCCAGGGCGCGGGCACGCGGCTGCTGCCCGCGTCTCGTTGAAGATTAACCTGCCGGCCGAGGCTGTGTGCACTGGCCCCCCAGGGGCCCCCGGTCTACCTGCGTGAGCACCTTGTTAAGAAATGTTTGTGTTGAAGGATCAAACTAATGCTCCTGTAACGGCTCACGGCGAGGCCCGGGATCAGGGTGGCCAGAGCCCCGGTCGCCCGGCACCTGCCCTGGGGACCGCTGTGTGGCGCAGGCCCGGTCCCGGCCTCGCAGGGAGGGGCCGGTGAGTGGCCGAGGGCGTGAACGGTGCCGGGACCCTCCCCCGCCTGCAGAGCGCAGGCCTGGGCGTCCCCACGGTGGGACGGCGCCCCTGCTGGTCCCGGCCCTCCTGTCCCCGGACGCCGCCGCACCGGTGCCCGGGCTCCCCACCCGACGTGCGGAGGGGCTGAGTGAAGCCTCGTCCTGGTGACCTGGGCCACGCAGTGGGGTTTCGTCCGGCTGTGAGGTGGTCGCTGCCTGACGGAGCCCCGCCACCCATCAGTGGGTGCCTCAGATCTGGGGGTCCGCACCCCCCCAGCAGGGCACAGTTCTGTTCCGAAACACCGAGGGCCCCTGGGCTCGGGGATAACGGTGACCGAGGGCACGGCCGCCACCGCGGGGGCTGGGCGGTGTCATGGAGGAGGCGGGGCCCGTCGCCCCACAGCCGGCTCCCCAAGGAGGACAGGCACTGCTGGTGTCCCCCAGCCCCTCGGTGGACAGGCCCCGCACCCCAGCATGTCTGCCCTGTCTCGGGGGCCTCGCCCTGCGCTGGCCCCGGGCTCCTTGCGGGGCGGGGTGGGCCGCTTGTAACCTCGCCAGGAGCCAGCAGCCTGTCCAAGGGCCGCTCTCCCCGAGCCCGGCCGTGGCCTCAGCCCTCGTCCTGCCCGGGCGCCCGCCCAGCCTGGTCAGGACGCCTCCAGCAGGCTCCCGGGGCCTCGTGCGTGGGCCCGGCTCTCACTGTGGGCCTGTCCTCGGGCCAGGCCTGCGAGCCGGGGGCCCTGCGAGCCGGGGGCCCTGCACAGGTGTGCGAGCCCATGGGTGGGCGGGGACCCGAGCCGGGCCCCCGCAGACACGGGGGCTGTCGGCAGGCTGATTCCCGCTGAGGTGGGGCCAGCCAGGGTCGCAGCGGCCCGCCTGAAGGGGCGCCCCTGGGCCAAGGCCAGGAGCGAGCAAGGGCAGACGGCAGCGAGGAGCAGCCTCCGGCTGGGGGAGCCTGGAGTGCGAGGGGCGAGGCCCTGCGCCATCTGCGGGAAGCTGTGCGTGGAGAAGCCCCGCCCGCCCCGCCCAGCCGGCCCTGCAGCCCCCGTGGGCGCCCGGACTGGCACAGCGGCCGGGCGTGGGCCCCGGGCTCTGCCCGCCCCCCAGGAGCCCCCAGCGTGTCCCAGAAAGTGGGCCTTCCGTGGGTGCACCGTGTCCTCGCGGCTGCTGGCAGAGGGAGGCTGGGCAGGGGCGGCCCCAGCCTGGACGCTGGCCGGCCCCCGGAGGGTCCTGATTGGAAACGGCCTCATCCGGCCCCCGCCAGGCCGCTCAGCGGGTCAGAGGTCACCCTGACACACCACACTGCGGGGCCGGTCGCGGTCAGCCAGGGCGCACACGTGAGCGTGTGAATGAGGGGACACCCAGTCCGTGTCTCTTGGGGAGAGGGACTCGTGGGGGACGGGTGTCTGGTTCTGCGTGTGGCGATTCCATCCGAACACCTGGGCAGCAGGGACTGGAGGTGTTCACCCCACCTGGGAACAGGGCGTGGGTGTCTGATTGGTTAGTGTCCGGCCGGGTGGGTGGGCGGGCTGAAGCCACAGGCTGTGAACCAAATTCCGAAAGCTGCTCCAGTTGGGAGCCAGGTGAGCCCGCTCAGGATGTGAGGGGGAGGGGCAAGGCGGGGACTGGGCAGGGGAGGGCGGGGCCCCAGAGGTGCGGCCAGGCAGGTGGCGGGAGGAGCCAGAGGTGGGGCCAAGCGGGTGGGGACTGTGGAGGCCTGGGGACCGAGCCGCCTGGGCCCACCTGCCCGGCATCTGGAGTGATGCACCAAGTTCCCCCCCCAGCCCCGCGTCCCAGGAGGCCACCTCCACAGCCCCGGTGGCCAGGACCCAGGTGTCACGAGCCCACGGCGAGCGGAGGCCGCCCGGCCGCAGAGAACAGGGCGTCTCAAGGATGCAATCCCTCTCTGACACTAGAGGGCGCCTGCGGCCCACGCCAGGCCGCCTCCGGGATCGGGCTTGAGTGGGCAGGGGTGCAGTGGGCGCGCTCCCTGCTGTGGGGGCAGGGTCCCTGCCCGTCCCCAGGGAGCTGGGGGGAGCGTCTGGGGGCCTGGCGCCAGAACACTGCCCTGAGTGGGGTCAGGGCCCAGCCCACGCCTGATACCCAAACGGTGACCTGAACACAGGGAAACGGGCGAGCCACTTCAGAAGCCAGAGTGCGAGTTCACAGGACCCAGCAGCTGCTGCCCCAGCCGAGTCCCTCAGGAGAGCGGGGGGTGGGGGGCGGTGGGTGCAGAAGGAAGGGTCCCAGGTCACAAGGCAGAGCGGCGGGGTCTGGGTCCGGAGGGCCGGCCGGCCAGCCTGCCCCAGGCAGTACCGGGTTCTGGGATTCGTGGCACCTGTCCCCAGATCCATCGCCTCCCCACCTGACCTGGGCACTGCTGCCTCCTCCGGGAAGCCTTCCTGGACTTACTCCCCAGCACTGCCACGTGGGTGCCCTGCTGTGTCCTCTCCCCCGGAAGTCACAGGAGCCGGGCAGACAGCACAGGAGAAGCCCGAGGGGCGTGCACCCGCCCCCCCGGGGGCGGGGGCCAGAAGGCAGCCAGGGGCGGACATGTGGCCACCAGAGCAGGTGGTGGTGTCCTGGAGTCTGGCTGGATCGGGGCACTAGATGAAGACTTCACTTGCATGTGGCTCCTTGGGGCCCCCGCCCAGAAACTGGCGTCCCCCCCACTCCCACCACAGACACCAGGGGTGGGGCAGAAAGGGGGAGGCCTCAGAGCCAGTTGTGAGGACATGACCCCCAGGGCCCACCTGGACTGCACGGCTGGGGCAGCTGGGGACCAGGCAGCCCCCCCCCCACACACACACACACAGACACCAGGGCATCTGCACTCCCTGCACCGGGGACCCCCTGAAACCTGGGCCACAGAGACCATCGGTGACACACACAGAGGCTCAGCCTCGCCGGCGTCCAGCCCCAGCTGGACACACCAGCCCCTCACGCAGGCAGTGCCCAGGGTTGGTCCCATCAGAGCCCCAGCCCAGGGCTGGAAACTCCCGGGGGAGGGGTCAGGAGTGGCCCGGCCCATCCCATCCCAGGGCCCCCCCCAGGCCTGTGCTGATGATGCTGCAGGAGCTGGTCACACCGCCCCCTCGGGAAAGGTGGGCCCGTCCCAGGTGGGGCGGCGAGGACAAGAAGCTGCGGGGACCCGCAGGAGGGCCGGGGACCGGAAGGCCTGGAGCAGGCTCTGGACTGAATCACTGTTTATTTTTGGAAAGCACGTCTGCCAGTGTGCGGGCGACACCTCCGGCCCCTGCGAGGCCGGGGGGCCGAGAACAGACCACCCCGGGCCCCCGCCAGCCCGCCCGCCCCCTGTCGAGCAGAGAGCAGTCGCCCGAACTCGCCACGGTAACAGGACAAAAAGTAACAGAACTGAATTCACGGCTCGCTCTCCCCCAAGCTCTGAAGAAAGGCAGCAGTCCGGGCTATGAAAGTCTAGAAGCGTTGCGTCAGAAGTGTTAAATCTACAGCAAATACATCTTGTAAAAACTCAATAAATTATATATATAGATATATATATATAAACTTGTAACATCTAATAACATCTGAGCCTGCGTGCAGGGCTGGCCCCCGGGCGGGAAGCTGCCTCCCACCCAGGGCACGGGGCCGTCACAACCGTACGAAAATACCGGCTTGCTCTGAAGTCCACAAAAATAAATCTCCTAAGAAGAAACCCTATAGAAACTGAATTCCCCTGCAACAGAAGGCCAAAGGAAGGGCATCACCCCCGCCGGGGCGACCTCACACTACCGCACACCCCGTGGGAGTGGGGGGCCGCTCTGGCCTGGGGGGTGCGGCCGGGGGTGCCCAGCGCTGCGCGCGCCCTCAGCGGCCCCCCCGAACAAGGCAGAAACCCCCTTGGCTGTTAATAATAAGTTAAGACTTGAGCCACAGCTGGGTGGCGGGCTGAACACTACAGCTTTGGGGGACGGGGGCAGGCCCGGGGCCCGAGGGTCCATAAATAGCTTTACAAATGTACAGGTCCAGGTACAATTTTTAAAACAAAACTGTGGTGCTGGGAAGGCCCCGACCCCCACCCTGGTGGTCTGCGCGCGTGTGAGTCGCTGCGGGGCGGGGGGCCCAGGCCTCCCGGGCTCGGGCCGCAGGCGTCCCGGGAGCCTCTCTCCTTCCAGGTGGACATTTATATACGTGTATGTGGGCCACACACGGCATCTGCTTACAGAAATGTACACGCGTCTCTGGGACAAACCTCTCGGATAGAAGTTCAAGGCTCCTGCCTTCTGGTACCCGTAATCTCAGTCGCTGAGGGGTGCGGGGGGGCTCTGTGCTAACGCTCGCCCCCAGGCGCAAGGTGCTGCGGGGGGAGGGGGGAGGAGGCACACCCCGAGGGGCCCTCCCCACAGGCTCTGCCGGGGCACTTGGGGGACGCCAAAGCCCGGAGCTGCTCCCTGGGGGTGGCGGTGCGGGCCCTGGGGGGGGCTTACATTCTACATTCCGTCCCCTGGTGCTGCTGGCACAGTGGCCAGGAGGTCGTTGCACAGCAGGCCGGGCACCCCGGGGACCCCGCACCGGGGGCCTGGAGACTCATCTCGCACACGCACGCACGCACACGTGCACGCACACACACACACGCACGCACATGCAACGCTGTCTGCCCATCCGTCCATCCGGGCCGGGTCTCAGGCCTGGGCTGCCGGCCCCGGTGGGCGGTGGCACACCCAGAGCAGCATGTTGGGCCGGGGCCCACTCTCACATTGGCGGGGGCTCGGCCTGCGGGCGGGGGTGGGGGGGCCCGTTCACGTCTGCGGGCCCCCGCTGCTGGGGGGGGCCGGGTGCAGCAGGTCGTGGGCAAACACGGAGTCGTCCCCCGAGGAGCTGGAGCTGGGGGTGTCCTGGCCGCCGGGCGAGTACTGCTCGAAGGGCACCGACAGGTCCAGGTACTCCTGCGGGCGGGCGGGCGGCAGTCAGTACCCTGGGCCCCCGCCCCACCACCCCGCCGCCCTGGCGCAGGGAGCAGGGCACTCACGTCCGTGGACGTCACCGTGAGGATGCGGTCCAGGTCCTCCACCAGCTGCTTGAAGGTGGGCCGCTGCGAGGGCACGGCGTGCCAGCACTCCCGCATGATCATGTACCTGGGGGAGGTGGGGCGCTCGGTGAGCTGCCGCCCGGGCTGCCCCCCGCCCCAGCCCTGGCCAGGGCCCCCGCCTCCCTCGGCCCCGCCCGGGCAGGGCCCTCACAGGTCATGCGTGCAGTTGGCCGGCTTGTCCATGCGGTGGCCTTCCTTCAGCAGCTTGAAGAGCTCCTCCACAGGGATGCCTGGGTACGGCGAGCCCCCCAGGGTGAAGATCTCCCAGAGCAGGACCCCGAAGGACCACCTGCGGGGCGCACAGCGCCGTCAGCCTCCCCGCTGGAGGCGAGCTCTGAGGCCGGCTGAGGCTGGGGCAGGGCGTAGGACCAAAAGGCCCAGGGGCTCCTGCTGGGGACTGAGGCCTGCCCCCGGGGCCCCCTGGCCCTGCCCTGGGCCCCGGGCCCCTTGCAGCCCGCCCCTCCCCCAAGGTCAGGGTCTGGGGGCCACGTACACGTCGCTCTGGTGGGTGTAGACACGGTCGAACAGAGCCTCAGGCGCCATCCACTTCACAGGCAGCCGGCCCTGAGGGGGAAGCCGCGGGTTGGCCGCCAGACGCCCCCCTGCCCGGATGCCCCCGCCCCCCGCCCGCCCCGAGCCAGACTCACGTTGGTGGTCTTCTTGTAGTAGTCGAGGTTGTGCACGTCGCGGGCCAGGCCGAAGTCCGCGATCTTCATCACGTTGTCCTCCGTCACCAGCACGTTGCGGGCCGCCAGGTCCCTGTGGATGCACTGCGGGCCGGGGGTCAGGGCTGCGGCGGCGTCCGCGGTGGCCACGCCCCCCCGGGGCCGCCCCGGAGACCGCTGCCCCCGCCACCGCCACTGCTCACCTTCTGGGAGGCCAGGTACTCCATGCCCCGCGCCACCTGGTAGGCACAGGACACCAGGTCCTTGAAGGTGAGCTGCTCCTCGGGCAGCTGGCAGGTGTCGAAGGAGTAGTCCGTGCCCGGGGGCCGCCGGGCCCGCAGGTACTCGCGCAGGTTGCCCTTGGCCGCGAACTCCACCAGCACATACAGGGGCCCTGCAGGCACCGGCACCTCAGGGGGCCGCCCACAGCCCCCACCACCCTCCCACCCCGACAGCCTCCCACCCGCCGCCCCCACGCCCCGAGGCACCCACCGCCCTGCGTGCAGGCGCCCAGCAGGTTGATGATGTTCTTGTGCTTCCCGATCATCTTCATCATCTCCATCTCCGACACCAGGTCGGACAGGTCCTTGTCGGTGGCATCGTCTGGGTGGGGACGGACGGCTGGTCAGGCAGCACAGCCCCGGCCGCCCCGCCCCGCCCAGGGCCCTGCCACCTGCCTCCCTCACCTTTCAGCATCTTCACGGCCACGGTGACCGGCTTGGCGGCCCGGTCCTTGTCGATGCCGATGGCCTCCGCCATGACCACCTGGCCGAAGCAGCCCTCCCCGAGGGGCTTGCCCAGGGTCAGCCTGGCGGCAGACGCGGCAGTGAGCGCTCCCGTCACCCAGCCTCACCCCGGTGGCCTCGGGAGCCCAGTGCCACCGCCTCCAGGAAGCCCTCCACACGCGCCCCGGAGACCATGCTCACGGGGACGAAGGTCGTTGCCCCTCCAGCCCCTGGCCCTCGGCCCACAGAGCACTCGGAGGGGGTGGGGCCTCGCTCGCCGGCCCCGCCCACCTCAGGAGCACCTTCGCAAGGCCCGGTCTCCCCCCTCACAGGCCCCACACCCCACAGACGCACCCCCCACCCTGGGGACCCCACCCCGTGTGGGCCCCCCCGCCCCTCGCCGGGTCGACGCTCCGGCGCCCCACTGACCGGGCCCGGGGCAGCTCCCACTTGGGGTCGGCGGGCAGCTCGAGCTCCGAGACGTTGGCCAGCGCGGGGCCCTCCCCCGAGGACAGGCGGGCGATGCGCACCAGCGGCGTGTTGGAGTTCATGGAGGAGTTGGACTCCAAGGACACCTGCTTGGGTCGGCAGGGGCAGGTTGGCGCCGCGGGGCCGCGCGTCCTGGGCCCTCCGCAGCACAGGGGGCCCCCCGCCCCGCCCAGCATGCACCCGGGGGGACGGAGGGCGGTGGGGGCGCCCCGGCAGCCGCGGCTGGCGGACAGGCGGCTCGGAACCTGGTATCTACTTTCTGTTACCTGTCGCTTCAGCGGGAAACGGGAGACCTTGTGCACGGCGGGTGCCAGGCCCTTCTTGGGGGGGCTGCGCAGGCGGCAGAGCGTCACGGCGGCCACCACCAGGATGAAGAGCACGAAGCCCATGCCGTAGCTGAGGACGCCCGCGTACACGCTGCCCGCCTCGCCCGCCGCCACCAGCTCCTCCTCGGCTGCAAAGACACGGACATCGGGGCCTGGCCTGGCCGCGGGCGAGCCCCCACGGGCCCACGGCCGCCCGGAGCCACGGGCGCGGCGGGGGTGGGGGGAGGGCGCTCGGCCCCGGTGGAGGCACCGAGGCCGGCACCCCACTCGGCGAGGGTCCTGCGGCCAGAAACACCCAAGAGGAGCAGCCCAGCAGAACCAGCAGCACCCGCACCCGCACCCCGGGGAGACGCCAACGCTGCCACTCGGACTGTGGGGGTCCTGGCGGGGGACGGGGGCTCGGCAGGGCCCCTGGGGGGGCCGGCACAGAGACAGGAGGACTTCGATCCCAGCCCAGGCGCAGAGCCGGGCGGCCGTGAGCCTCGGGGCCCCCCCTCCCCCTCACTGTGGCGGCGTTGGCGTGCCCCGAGCCGGAGACCGGAGCACAGGTGCAGCGCAAGCAGCAGCAGCAGGAGCCAGTACCTGGCAGCACCACCAGCCACGCAGAGTGATGGGAAAACCCGATAGAATTGCCCGCCAGACAGGTGTACTCCCCCGCGTCCTCAAAGGTGACATTGCGCAAGGACAGAACCTCCAGCTCCTTGTCGGTGGTGTTGGCGCCCGCCGTCTGCGGGGAGAGAACAGAGCGCGATAGGCGAGCGCCAGCCCCCCCGGGGGCACCAGAGCCACGGTCCGCGGGCGACGGCCAGCCAGGCTGCAAGGAAAACGCGGTTGCCGCCACCACCACCACGCCACCGCCGCGGCGGCGGTGGGTCCTCTGCCTCGTGCGTCCACACCGAGCCCGAAGCCAGTCCCTTCACCGGCGAGTCCTCTGTCCCACGAGGGCACCAGGCGCACGGCCAGCAGCAGCAGCGTGCGGGGTGAGCGCAGACACTCAGCGGGGTGAGCACGGGTGGGCGGGGGGGAGGGGGCGCACAGCGGGGGAGCAGGCAGCGGGCGGGCCACGGGCCACAGGCCACGGAGGTGGGAGGAGAGCAGCGTCGCAGGCAGAGGGGTGCGGCCCCTGCGGGGCGGAGGGCCGACGGGCGGGGGGCGGGCACAGGCGCAGGCAGGGGCAGCAGGCCGCAGGGCTCCGGGCGGCAGGCAGGCACCCGGAGGCCGGAGGCGCCGGCCTCGCGGTGGCGGAGACGCTCACGTGGCGCGGGCGCATGGCACAGGGTGGGGGGGTGGGGGGGGAGGAGCGGGACTGGGGGGGGTGGAGCAGCGGGCGCAGGGTCGGGCGTCGGAGCTGGAGCTCGGAGGCGGCGAGCCAGGCAGGCGTGGGACAGAGTCGTTACCTGCGGGGGGCCCGCGAACGCGCAGCCAAAAGGCCTTCTCGGACACGCCTATGAAATTGGACGCCCGACAGAGGTACCGGCCCCCGTCGCGCTCCGACACATTGGCCAGGCGCAGCCGTGCGTCGGCCTCCACAGCCTCACTGATCCAGGACTGCGGGGACAAGAGACCCCGCTCAGGCGCGCCCGCCGCCGCCACCGCCGCCGGCCGGCCCGGAGGGGCTGCCCGCGGACCCCGAGGCTCGCAGGCGGGCGGCGGGAGGGCCCCGAGGAACGAGCGAGTGGGGCCGGGCCGGCCCGGAAGGCTGCCTGGAGGAGGCGCACGGGCACCTCTCGGCAGAAGACTGTGGTTTCACGGCGCGCCTTCCCACGCCCACCCTCCCCAGCCCAGGGCCCAGCCCTGGCAGGCGCCCCGGGGGCCCCCGAGAGGCTGGTGCTCGCCCGCCTGCCCCCGGAGCCCAGGCTGGGCCTGCGGACCGGGCGGGCAGCTCACGGGCTGGCCTCGGTGCTGAGACACCACCCCGTGGGCCCAGCCGGCCTCGCCCAGCCCGGTCTGGACTCCACAGCCTGAGCCCCTGCTCCCCACCCCCGCCGGCCTGTCTTGTCTCTAAACAGATGTTTCTCTTTGGGCTGCCGGTGTCGCAACCGTCCCGACGCAGGCGGCCCCCACACGGGGCCCTGGGAACGGCGCTGAGGCCGTCCTGCCCCGAGGCCCCGAGTCTCGGGCTGGGTGGCGAGCCGCTCAGAACACAGGGACGCCGCCCAGTGCCCCAGGCCCTCCCAGCCCTCCCAGCTCCAGGAGCAGTGCCCAGCCTCCCAGACCCAAGAGGGCGCTCGATGGTCTCAGTGGCCACGGGCCGGCTGGGGCTTGGCACCCGGCCCACCCCAGGGCCCTCTGCAGATCTGCTTCCGGGGCCGAGAACCCCCAGGGGGCAACAGGGAGACCTGGGAGCTCATGGGGGGGAGGGGCAAGCTGGGACTCACCCCCCACCTCCCGGGCAGGGCCTGCCGAGGGGAGCCCCCCACCAGTCCAACCCCCGGGCCCAGCCGCCCAGCCGCGGCCTCCTGGCCCGGCGCCCGCCCCACCCCGGCCCCACCAGCAGGGGGCAGCACCCACCTTGAGCACGGTGACGTAGGGCGTGCCGTCCGGCCCCACCTTGCTGCCGTTCACCTCCACGTGCTTCAGCCACTGGATGTGGGGCTGGGCGTCGCTGTACACCTTGCAGTGGAACTCCACGTCGCTGCCCAGCACCGCCGTCTGGTTGGCCGGCAGCCCCGCCTGCAGGATGGGCCGGTGCGGAGAGCGCTCTGGGGGCGGACGGACGGTCGGGGCTCAGGGGCGGCCGGCCGGGGCACCCCCCGCGCCCCCCTCCCACCCTCACGGCGGCCCGGGCCCTCACCCAGCACGTCCAGGGTGTAGGTCTGCCGGATGCTGCCCAGCCGGTTCCGCACGACGCAGGTGTAGTTGCCCCGGTCCGAGGGCACCACGCTCTCCATGACCAGGCTCCACTGCTGGTGACGCAGCTGCGGGCGGACGCGGCGGTGAGGACGGCAGGCCCGGCCCCCCGACCCCCGGCCCCCCGCCCAGCCCGCCCGCTGGGCCCACCTTGATGCCCCCGATGCGGTGCTCGCCCCGGAACTCCTTGCCATTCTTCAGCCAGGTGATGGACGGCGTGGGGTTGCCGGCGGCCGGGCAGCGGAAGCGGACGGTGTTGGCGGCCGGCACGGCCAGCAGCTTCTTCTCCATCCGCTCGGGCCGCGTCCAGTACGGGGCCCCTGCTGGCGACGGGCACAGGGAGGCCATAAGCCGGGTGGGGTCGAGGCCCGCTGCCCGCCCTTCCAGCCTCAGTTTCTCCGCTGCAGGAGGCCGGGGGCCTTTCGAGGGGAGGCTCCCGGCAGACTCCGCACCACCTGCGGCGCTCCCTCGGCCAGGCCCCGCGCCCCCCGCCCTCCCTGGACACACCCCCAGGGTGTCGCACACTGGCCCCCAGGAGTCTGCAGGACACATGGTGCCTCCTGGGGGCTCGCCCACCCGCCCAGGGGACAGAGGGGCCGGGTCAGGCCGGGTCGGGAAGCTCAGCGCCGGACAGGCAGGCCAGCCCCAGAAGCAGTCACAGGGGGACAGGCACAGCCGCTCCCACAAGCTGGAGCCCCGGAGGCTCCGGGGCGCCACCCTCGGCTGCACCCCAGGGCCTGCAGGGCAGCAGGTGGGGACGGGGCGACGGCAGTGCCAGGGCCCCCAGGAGGCCCCGCTCCCCCGACCCTGGTGTCAGGGCTGCCCCGCCCCCGCCCCCAGAGCCGAACTGGTTTTTCTCCTTCTCTAGGGCCAGGGTGGGGGCTGCATTCCTGCTGGGGGGAGGGCTGGGCAGGCGTCCCCCAAAGGGGAGGCACCCCTTCCCCGAAAGCCTGCTGCCCTCCCCGAGGAGGGTGCTGAGGCCCAGGAAGGGGTATGTGGACAGATGCTGGGGAGGCACCTCCCAGGCATCCGGAGTCCAGGGGGCAGAGGCACCCAGAGCCCACACAGATGGACGGATGGACAGCAGCAGACCCCAGCCTGAGACAGCCAGGGCGGGAAGGGCCCCAGGAGGGTGTGGCTGGGAGAGGGTGGAGGGGCAGCCGGGCAGGAAGTTTGGCTTGGACCCCTCCTAGGGGACTAAGGGAGAAGGATACACTCGTCCCCGGGTTCAAGCTGTTCCTGCCGCATCCTGGGGGACCCGCCCTCCGAGGAGGGGGCTTGGGCCCAGCTCGTGGCTCTCCCAGGCCCCTCTCTGCCCTGCACCTCCGCCCTGGGGTTCCTGCCCTGCTGGCTGGCTCCTCCTGCCTACTTGCCCCCTGACCCCACCCCAGAGGGCCCCACCCCCATCTCTCTGCATTTCAACCCCCTCCCACGCCTGGTCTCACCTGTGTCTTCCACCTCCTCCTCCTCATCTTCATCGTCTCCGGAGGACGGGGCATCTGCAGCGCAGAGAGGCGGGCTGTGGAGCAGGGCCGTGTCCGGCGCCCCTTCCCGGGCCTTCCCAGGAGGCCCAGCGAGTCCGCCCCTCAGGCGGTGCCGCCGGGGGTGCCCAGCTCTCCCCCAGCAACCCCTCAGACGTGCGGCCCGAGAGCCCGGCCTCCCAGAGCGCCCGCGGGCGCCGGCAGACACCCACCTGTCACCCGCACGCTGAAGCGGCACAGGACGCGCTGGGTGAGCCTCTGCCGGCAGCTGTAGGCCCCGGCGTCCTCGTGGGAGGCATTGAGCACCTGCAGCCGCTGCTGCCCCACCAGGACGCGGTCCGAGGGCGCCAGTCCTGCCCCGTCCTTAACCCAGAAGGTGGGCCCTGCGGGGCCGCCTGCGGGCGGGTGGCAGCTCAGCTCCACGGTGTCCCCGCTGCCGAAGACCAGCTGCTCCTGCGGGCCGGGCTCGGGCTCCGGGTCCTCTGTGGGCGAGACGGGCGGCCGTGAGGGACAACGGTGGGGCTCCGCATGCCCGGGGGGCACCCCACCCCACGGACCCGCCACCACCGCAGTGGCAGGAGGGTGTTGAGGCCGTGGCGTTGCAGACCGCCCTGAGGGGCCGGGCCGGGGCACCACCTCGCCCGGCCCACCAGCCTCGGCCCCGGGGGCCGCGCTGCCACGGCGCAGGAGCCGGCGGGCCGCACCCCGGTGGGGCCGCAGTCACCGGCACCGAAACCCCGATCTCAGCGCATCACGATGGAGTCTTCTTCCCTCAAGTCTCCTCAGTCGTTTAGAAACACAAAACCCACTCTGCATTTGGGGGGAAGGTGCCTGGGACCCCCATCTTACAGCAGAGGACACAGGCCGGGCAGGGAGACGTCAGAAGAGGAGCCCACCTTGCCACGCCAGTGGCTGCCGCCCAGCTCCCAGGAGGCCCCCCCGGGCCTGAGACCCAGGGACACGGCGCTGGCCGGGCCGGCCCCCCCAGCCCTCCCTGCCGGGGCCGGACAATGCCCAGCAGGCGGGCGGCCAGGCAGAGGGCCCGGGACGGGGCTGGGTGGTCCTGCCGCAGGGGCCGCCCTCCCCACCCAGCTGGGTCAGCTGCTCCGTTACTTGTCATTCTGCCGACGCGTGGCCTAGATTCGAGGGCCCAGCTGCCCCGCCGGCCACACCAGGCCCTGTGCCCCCAGGAGGCCCGGCTCTGCCCGCCCGGCTCTGCCCGTCCGCCTCAGATGCCCTCCCGGGCCCCACGCCCACCAGAAGGGCGTCCGAAGCATCCAGAGTCTGCGTCCCCGGGGACGGGGACCCCACAGTCTGAGGGCACCCGGCCCGAACGCCAGGCCCCCGTCCCAGCCACTACATCCTGTGGGGACCACCCAGCGCCGGGAGCCGATGGGGGCCCCCCAGAAGGCCGAGAACAGGCCGGAGCGGCAGCCTCAGCCCCAGGCCCCGGCCCAAGGGCAACAGCCGTCGGTTCCGGTCTGGTCTGGGCAGGTCAGCCCGTCCACACAAGGATCCGCTTCAGCCTGGTCCAGCACGAGGCTGAGGGGCGGCCGAGCACCCCAGGCCAGCCACGCCAGGCAGCCACCCGCCCGGGTGTGTGTAGGGGCGGCTCACCCCTGCCCTGCCCACCGCCCTGCCCAGAGCGGGGCCTGCACGGGGCAGTCAGTCCCCAGCCAGTCAGCCACCCAGGTGGAATCCCCCCGCCGGATCCCACACACGGGCTCCCCTGGAGCCCCGGGGTGCACAGAGACAGGCATGGGGGGGGCACTCCGACACCCAAGATTCAGGGTCCTGCTCCCCCTGGGGGGCGGTCAGGCCTCTGCCCCGCCCCCAGAGCGGCCCCAGGAAGGGGTCTTTCTCGACCAAGAAAAAGGGGCTCTCTGCTGCCACAGACACTGGGGCCTAGACACACCGGGGCCCAGAGGCCCTCTGTGCCATGGTGGCACCCGCGTGCCGTGGTGGAGGGCGGGCGCGGTGGGGCGGATGCCCCGGTGGGCTCCACAGGGCCGGCCCCCACCTGCACAGCAGCCTCCGCCTGCCCCGGCCGCAAGGGGCTGAGCCTGACCAGGGGCCACGTGTCGAGGGCAGCCCATCGCCAGAGCCCGAGGGGGGGCCCGCCCCGGGGAGGCCGAGCCCAGCCGGCAGGCCGGTCTCCCAGTGGAGCTGTCCTCTTGACTCTGCCACGCCCTGGCCCCTGCCTCAGTTTCCACCCCTGTGGCGCCAGGGAGGCCTCCACACACAGTCAGAGCCCCGGAGCACGCCCACCCCCGCCCCGGGTCTACCTCGCAGAGCTGATGGGCCCCGGGCACAGTCACAGCCAGCCTGAGTGTGTCCTGAGTCACAAGTCACCGAGGCCTGGGGGGCACCCGGCCATGGGGTCAATGTGGACAACACCAAGAAGCAGACGTCCAGCCTGGAGCAGACTGCACGGCACACATGGCACGCACGGCCACAGGGTCCAGAGGGACAGGGCGCGGCCTGGGGTGCGGAAGCTGTCCCCGGCTCTCCCTCCCGGCCCCGGGCCCTGCGGCCAGAGACATACTTCGGGGGAGCCCAGGGCGGGGGCACCTCCGAGGGGCCCTGAGGCCGCGGGAAAAGGCTCTGCCCCCCCCACCCCACGCGGAAACATCCTGAAAAGTTTCCTGACAAAGTCAGAAAAACAGGGGGGCCCCAATGGTGGGCGGGCTAATGAGGGCTTACAGGATTATCCAGCCTAATCCTCGCAACAGCCCTTCCGTGGTCGGCCCCCTGGGACAGGTGAGGAAGCCGGGGCTCCGGGGGCAGGCCCAGCAGTGCCCGCCAGCCCTCGGCGGGCGGCGCGGCCTCGAGCCCCAGCAGGGCCTGGGGTCAGGGAGCCCCCCACCCCATCGCAGAGAGAAAAGGCTCCAGTCACAGCTCACGTCATCTGCTGATCACTCAGCCCTACGTGGCCCGGAGGGTGTGAGTCCCCCAAACCACAGCCCGGGCAGGCGGGTCCCACCTCCTCAAGGAGACCCCTCTCCCCCCTCCAGGTCCAGGCGGAAAACGGGCGGAAAAAGGGGCCGCATTCGAAGGCTGACCGGCTCAGGGGAGGCCCAGCCCAGAGACCAAAGCCGCCACACGGAGTGGGCCGGTCATGCAACACCCCGACTGACCGGGAGGCAGGGCCAGCCGGGGGCTACATGCAGGGGGCTACGTGCAGGTGGTTACGTGCAAGGCCTGGCGCTTCCTGGACAAACGTCAGTCTTGACCTCTGAGAATGCCTTATTCTTGGCGCATCTAAGATAAGATAGGATGCTTCTGAAATCTCAGAGCAATCTTCTCCTCTGGACCTCAGGAAGGCGCCCCGGGGTGGGGGGGGGACGGGCGGCGCTATCTCGCTCCCGCATACCACCTGCATGCGCTGGCCTGCTCGACCGACCGGGCGAGGGGCTCCGGGCCAGCCTCATCTCCCCGCGCCCCCCCACGCGGCTTCTGCGGAGCTTGCCCTCCCGGGGGCCCCAACATAAAACAAGCTGCAGGACGGCCCTTCTCCTCCGCAGCCCGCGCTCAGTCCACTGAGGCTGCACTTCTCCGCCACTGGCGTCAGCGGGGCTCCAACGAGCTTTTGTTACGAGGAGTTTCCTGGGGCCAGGCGCTCTTGGGGCGACAGGTCCCGAGTCAGCCTGAGACCTGCGGGGGGGGAGGCCCCGGTGGCCTCCACGTGGGGGCTCAGGGGCCACAAGTCCAGCCTGGGGCTCGGCCCAGGTTAATGAACCACCCGGAGGCCCTGCGGGCTCAAAGTCCAGCCCCGCGGAGGAGGCGGTGGGAGAGGCTGTAGTCAGGGAGGTGCCCAGCCCTCCCCAGACCCCTGCCGGCTGGGTGGGGTCGGGCTGCAGGGGGGCAGCCTCCTGCTGCTCCCACCAACCTTCCTTCCCCGTGGGGGACCCTGCCTGGGCCCCTCACCGGCTAACGAGACCCCCTGCGGAGAAGCAGGCCGCAGGGCCGGCCCGGGGTCGCCAGGGCAGCCCAGCAGCAGCGCCCCTCCTCCGTTGTCCTTGACCCCACCCGGCTCTGGCTCCGTATTTTGTGTTACCCGGAAAGTGCCAGCCGGCACCTCTGGAAATTTCACAAGGCCTTTGTGTGTTTACTGCCCAGCCCGCCCATCTCTCAAAGGAACCGGATTAAGTTTATTGACCTATCTACTTACTACCTGTTTCACCAGCTGTACTGCGGGGGCGAGGAGGGGCCGGCAGGGGCGGAGGCGCGAGGCAGCAGACCCCTTCCCGCGGCCCTGGGGGGCCCTCGCCGTCCTCTGACCCAGGCCCCCATTGGCGGGGGGGCGGGGGCCACCACAGGCTTTGCTGCCGCCCCAGAGCTAGGGATGGAGGAGGCCACGAGCCCCGCGCGCCACAGGGGGTCCTGGAGAGGGTCTGCGGCCCGCCGCCACCCCCTCCCCCGGGGGCTAGTTGACATTCCCTGGCCGTAGGGAGTAATATCTTTATCTGAATGCGAATGCAAATGCTAATGCGGGGCTCCCCCCGCGGCCGCTTATTCGGAGCCCCTGGAAGCGGGGGCCGCCCGAGCAGGCGCTAAAAGCGCGCGCTGACCTCCCGACGGCCTCTGTCACGCCGCTGAATGACACGCACATTCAAGCGCCGGGCCCACTTTCATTCATAAAAAAATGACATTGTTCCGGGAGGCTGCAGCCGCCGCCGGAGAAAGGGGCGCGGGGGCCGCGGGGAGGGCGGGCCACCATCTGCCTGCGTCCTGCCCGCGGCCGGCCGCCGCCTCGCTGGCACGGCGCGCCCCAGCCGCTGCGCTCACACCTCCCCGCGAGGCGGCCTGGCCCCGCCATCAATGCGCGTCTGTGGCCGCGCCGAGGTACAAAGGAGCGGCTGTTCGGGTGCGCCCGGGTGGGGCGTGAGCTCACCGGGCGAAGGCCTCCCTCCACGCAGCCGCCGGCCTGGGGGCAGGCCTCGCTGAGCCCCCTCGCCCGTGCCCTGGAGGTAGCTGTCCCCAAGGGGCGGACTCCCGGTGGCCAACACCCGGACCACAAGTTTCTGCCCTGCCGCCAGGAGCCTGGCGGCACGTGTGCGGGGCGGTGGCATCGGGAGCGCCCAGACGCGCTCCCGCTCCTCAGCGGCCATCACCCCGCCGGCCCGGCCCTCCTCAAGACCCTCGACGTCCCGCGGGACCCTCGCTACCAACCGGTGTCCGCGGCTCCATGTCCCTCGGATATCCGCCCTCTCACCTTGCGGCGGCGGGGGGGGGCAGACACATCCAGTCACAGGGCATGAGAGCGGGGTGGGCCGTCGGAGACACTAGAAGGGTAGCTCCTTGTCAGGGGAGCCGCGGAGGAGCAAAGGACGCGTCGCGGGCTGACGCACTCTCCTACCCTCCCTCCAAAGCACCGTCCCTCGCTTTGGCCAAAGCCGGCCGTGAACTGGGGCCCGAAGGGGGTTGGGGGAGCGGCACCAACAATAGAAACTTTCCGTCAGTGCAAAACCCACAGAACAACAATAGGGATCCTGGAAACGCAGCCCCCCGCGCCCTCCTGACGGCGCCTAGGGCGGACCGCGCCCCCGCCCCGGGCAGCGCGGAAGCAGGGGGCTGCGGGCGCCTCCTCCGGGCCCGCACCCACCGCAACCTCGCACTTGGCTCCAGGCGCCCCACTCACTGCCGTGCCAGCTCTGGCCGCGATCCCCGGGGAGGGAGGGCGACAGAAACCCGGACACAGGCCCCGCGGTGGCAGCCCACGGCGCGCCCTGGGGCCGTCTCGGCGTCCTACACTCACCCAGGCGCCAGCTCCGGAGCTGGGACGCTTCTGCCCGCGGGGCCTGTGGCCCCTCCCTGTCCTGTCGGGCCCTTCCTTACCTGCCACTCTCCGCACGACGCGCTGCTCTGCGGCCGGGAGCCCCGAGGTGGTACCGGTCACGACCACCACAGCCACGCAGAGCGCGACAGCCCAAACCGGGGCGCCCATCGCGGGGGCAGGGGCTACGGCGTCTTCAGGCGGTGCTCGCGGGCATGTTGCCCCCCATGGCCCGGCCCTGGCACCGGCGGGAGGAGTGCGCCGCTCGGGAATCTGCGGGAGGCGGACAGCTCGTTACCCGGGCGGACCGGGCGCGAAGGGGAGGAAGCGGCTGCGGCCCGGTCCTGCGCTCCAGCCCCTCCGACCCCGTCCGCCCCGCCCGCCGCCGCCGCCAAGGGCTCCCGGGCCGCCTGGCGCCGGCCGCCTCCTCCCCGCCGCGGTCCCTCCCTCCTCCCCCTTCCCTGCCTGGCTGCTGCAGAGCCCTCCCAGGGCGGCGGCGGCGGCAAACTTTCCAGAGCGGGAAGCCCGCGCCCTGGCCGGGCCCCGCTGCAGGGACCGCTCGGGATCCGAGCCCGCCGCGCGCTCCGGCCCCGCCGCGCGCTCGCCTCGACCCCTCCCGCGCCCGCCCTGGCCCCCAGCACTGACCTGGCGATCGCGGGTGTTCCAATCGCTGCGCGCTGCCCTTGCTTCCACTCGCTGCCCGACGGCCCCGCGTCTGCGCCCGGCCCCTCCGGCCGTCGGCTAGCCGGTGCGTCCGTGCGCCGGCCGAGCAGGACCGCGCAGCACTAGCCGCCGGAGCCGCCGCCGCCGCCACCTCGCACTGAGTCCTGGCGGCCGGGCGCGCGGCAGCCAGTGGGGGCCGGCCCGCGCCGGCCCCGCCCCCGCCCCGCCCCTGTGTGACTGGGCCACGCCCACCCAACGCGCGGAGCCGAAGGGACACGCCCCTCCCCTGGGGCGGTCCGGGGGCGGGCTCGCAGCCCAACTCCCGGGAGCCTGCGGAGGGGATTAGAGGGGGCGGGGCCGGGCGGGGGCGCCGGGCGGTCTCGGAGGGCGTGGGAGCCGGGGCTAGGAGGGTGAGGTCCGGGATCGCGCCGCTGGGCGCACAGGGAGGCCGAGAGTAGGCCTCTATTTGCGCAGCGCGCAGTCCCGGTTCTCTCCCAGCCGCGGATCGGGGGCTCAGGGTGGTCTCAGTGGGCGAAGCCCGAGTGCAGCAGCGCGGCATGGGGGCGGGGGAAGGCTAGGTGTAAGGACCTGGGGCTGAAACGCAAGGGGACTGCACCCCGGAAGCTCGATACCCAGGAGCTGGCCGCTGCGTTTACTAAGCGACTGCGGCGCCCACGTAGCTGAGCTGCCTGAGCTCGCTCCCAGAGCGGCCCTTGCCCGGCTTCCCCAGGAGCCAGAGCTGTGGAGATTGGGTGCTTCCAGGCATCAGAAGGCAGAGCAGGGGCTGGGGGCCTGACCTTGGGCCTTGAGGAAGGACCCCAGGGGAGCGAGTGGCAGAGCCTGGACTGGTCTGGGTATGTCCATGTGACTGTGGCTTCTGCGTCCACCTTTGCGAGGAACAGGGCTCCACTCCCGCTTTCAGACAAACCCGGAAGGGTGACCCGCAGGAGCCAGAGCTTGGGTTGGCTGGCCAAGGCGTGGCACCCCAGCCTCACACCTCTAGCCCGCCTGGCCGTGGGCACTGGGGCTCAGTTTGCTCATCAGGAAAACGGGCATGAACGCTTCTCTGGCACCGGCTCTTCAGGCCACCCACAGCTCCAGGGGCTGCCTGTACTGTGAGGGGCCAGGGGGAGACCCCCCGCCTCTGAGACCAGACTCCATGGCCCTGGAAGGGCCCCCCCGCAATGCCTCCTGGCAGGCTGTCCTCCGTGCCTGCTCCACTCAAGCCCCCGTCTCCCAGACAGGCTGGGGCCTGCTGAGCTCCGGGGGCTGTCCGGACCCCTCCCGTGCGCAGCTGCAGGCTGTCCCCGTGTCAGCCCTCCCCCAAGATAGGGTCCCAGGGGCCACAGTGACACGCTCTGCTCTAATCCATCAACGGTTCTTAGTTAGTTACTGAGCATGCCAGCATGGGTGTGGGCTGCCGGTCCCCGTGAACCCCTTCCTAGCACCTGAGGAGGGCTGGCCTTCCACGGGGCCCTTCCGAGGCCCAGAAGGGGCTCCGCGTGGTCTCCAGGAGGTCCCCTCCACGGACAGCACCCACAGCCCCTCTGCAGCCCCCCAGGAAGGCTGTGCTGCGTCCCCCGGCCTCCGAGAGGGAGGCACCTGCTCGTCACCATCGAGCAGCCTTTAGCTCTCGGACCCAGCACTGAGTCCTTGGCAGAAGCGCCTGTGGGGTGGGGGACGGAGGGCCTGTGCCAGCTGTTCTCCAGGTGGGCTGCTCCCCCCCTCAGCCCTGCACCTTCTCCTCCTCCTCACTCCACTGGCCCCGCCCCACAAGCCGGAGCCCCCCCCCCCAGCTTTGCGTGCATGTGTCCCTCCGGCAAGTGGGACTTGGGGGCTCCCTTGGGCCTGCCGGGCAGAGTGAGCCCCTCTTCCCCGCCCCGTACCAGGCCTGGGCCGACCCCTGGGTGCTCACAGACCCGCCCGCACTCCTCTCCCAGGGCTGCTGCTGCGCACCCTCCCACACTCCGCCTGGAGGCCAGGGCTCTGAGACCAGGGGCTGTAGGGCCCGGCTCCCTGGGATGCTCCAGGGGGCTCCTCCCACCTCCTCCCGCCTCTTCTGGGGGCTCCAGGCGTCCCTCCAACCTCTGCCCCGCCACCACTGGGCTCTGCATGGTTTACGAGGACAGGTCACTGGGTACAGGCCCGCCCAGCTACTCCAGCACCACCTCCTCATCTCAAGAGCTTGACTTATTTGCAAAGACCATTTTTCCAAGTAAGGTCACCCCACTAGGTTTCAGGGGTCAGGACACTGACTGGTCCTTTGCGGGGAGGCCCCATCCGCCCTCCCTCTCCCTGTCCTGGCTGGTTCCGGTGGTGCTGCCGCCGACAAACTGGAGTGGCCCCTTCATTTAGCCCCCCCAGGGGCACTGTGTGGTGGCATCTGGGTCAAAGGTCAGGCACGTTTTTGCGGCTCAGGGCTGATCCGGCTGAGTTGCCCCCAGAGAGCCTGAGCGTGGCCCCAGACGGCACCAGAGGCCTCGCTGCCCCGGCCTCCTTTACTGTTCCTGACAGAGTGACATCGTTATTCACAACCGTCATTTCCGAGTCACCGTGCTCCCCCGGACTGCGGTGCCGTGCCACAGGGCTGTCCCCTGGGCATCGGGGCCGGGCCTGCTGCCCACGGCACTGTCCTCACCGTGTGCCAGAGACTTCAGGGACGCCTTCCACGGGTGAACCATTAGTACCCACTACTTCGTCACACCCCCTCGGTGGGTCATGTCCACGGAGACCCTCTGCAATGTCACCCGACGACCCCCGGTGGGGCAGGCCCTCCCGGGGCCACTGGACCTGTGAGCCAGGCAGGACGGCGGGGAACAGCCGGCCGAGGTGGCCAGAGCATCATGCAGGGCGCACCCTCAGGGTGCACACCACCCTGCCCACCCACCCCCCGCACGCCCCCCGTCTCCCAGGGCCCACACCCACGGGGCTCCTGCGTGAAGGGGAGCGTGGGAGGCCGAGGGGAGGCAGGCGTCGGGGCTGGGGGCCGCCGTGCCCGGCCCAGCCTCCGGTGACTCAGAGCCGGCGGCCGGCTTGCTGGGGCCTGTGCCGTGAGCTCTGAAAGAACCTCCGTGGGAGGGAAGCTGGGTGCAGCCTCCTGGGTGCAGCCGCTCCTGCGCTTGCCCCTCCGCACCTCCCGCCGCCAGGCCCGGGCCGAGGCTGGGGACACGGCTCGGGGTGTGCTCGGCCTTGGGGCCTGCTTGGTGTGGCCTCAAATCCACCTGCACTCCCTGCGGGCCGAGGGCCCCGTCTCTTGGTGCCTGTCAAGGCGGCTGCCGCCGGGCCTAGACCCCAGGGCAGGGCGCCCCCTCCCCTGCTCAGGTACCCTCCGGAGGGACCGTCCAGGCCGGGGACAGCGCTGCCGCGGGGGCTTCTCTCTGCCCTTCCCTGAAGCTGGGAGCCCCTCCACCCAGCCCACCGCCCCCAGGGGGCTCCTGGGGCCAGCCGGGGCTGCTCCCTCTCCTCCCAGCGCTCGCCATCTGCCAACGCACAGCCCATGCTCCGACACCTGCTGCCCTGCCTTCTGGGGGGCAAGGGGGCCCCGGGGACCAGGGCAGTCCACCAGGGCTGGGGGGAGGAGGGGACTGTCAAGGACCCGCTGAGCTGGGCTGGGCTCATTGCCTCCCCACCCAGAAGGAAGAGAACATTTGAGAGAGGTTGTGGCTGTACATCACGGACAGTTTCTGCCTTTTTATTTTATTCTCGGAAAAGTGGGGGACTCCGACAGGAAGCACAGCGGATGTGCTCCTGATACCAGAAACGGGATTTTAAAGAACGTGGACAAGAGAAGATATTTCAAAATGCATCGGCTAATTCCAGCTACTGTAGAAGGTCCTTCCTTTTTGCTCTGAGCTTCCTGGCAGGCTGAGCAAAAAGGGCAATGCTGTGAATCCTGGGCTGTTTAGAGGCAGTCTTCTTAGGTGTGCTCCGACTGCCCCCGTCCAAACAATCTGTTCTTTCTGCCCCTTGGTTCATTCAGGCCACTAGACCTCAACCCTGACTTTGGACCTGGAAAATGTGCTTGTTTCCAGATGAGCAGAAAGAGGGAGACCAGGGCTGTCTACAGACACAGGGAGCCTGGGGGGGGGGGGGGGGGGGGGGGGGGGGGGGGCGGGGGGGGGGGTGATGAAGGCCTGGGCTTGCCCAGGGCTTCAACCCGGGCCGGGGAAGGAGTGGGCCCCAGCCCCCATGGGAGCCTGGCCCCAAGGGCTGCTCTGCCGTGCAGAGGGGCAGGAGGCAGCTGGTGGGGGCAGGAGCGGGCTGGGGGCAGGCTGGAGAGGGAGGGCGGTGTGGAGGTGGCCCGCGGCGGCCAGGGAGGGGTTAAGGCCGCCGCAGCTCCCGGGCCGGGCTGGCGGGGGCCAGGCCGGTAGCCGCTGAGCAGCTCAGAAATCTATTTTCCTAAGCGCTTGGCGTTCGCCTAAAACCTCAAGTGTGTTTTCCCTAAGTTTTATTTTTTCTTTGACCCCAAACTCTGGTAAATTTAAGGGAAATTTAATTATGATGTTTTGGGTCCATTTACACTTAAACCTTCTCAGCATTTTTTCCAGGACCCTTTTGGTGTTCGGCACGTCTTGGGAGCCTTCTAAATGAGCGTTTTTATTATTATTATTTTTTGAAAGGCTTCACTCCCCACCTCCACCCCCCAGCACCAGCCTTCCTGCCAAGAATAAACAAGCCCGACTCCACAGGCTCCGGCTGAGTTCGGAGTCCAGGCCCGGGCCCTGGGGCCAGGCCCAGCGGTGCCCCCCTCCCTCCGGCCGGCAGCCTCGCCCTCACGGGGATGCCCCTTCCTTTGGGTCCCGCTGGCCCCCCGCCTGGCCAGGGAGCCTCGGCCAGGGCCCCCCAGGGCCCAACCCCCACTGGGCGCCCGAGTTCCCTGCCGCCCTGCCTGTTCAGAGTGGCCCGCTGGGTCCAGCAGGCAGTGGGAGCTCATCTCCGCTGCTGGCCGCTGGCTGTAGACCCCACCCCGGCCAGGGCCAGAGGAGCCCCCAAGACTCGGGCCAGGGTGGCCCATGTCCCGTGGGACTGGGAATGGGGGGAGGGACTGGCGTCGGCCGTGATGGTGCCTCTGGACTAAGAAGCCCCAGGGCTGATCCTCTTACCAGCCCCGTCTTCAGCCCTGCGTGACGGGTGGGGAAACTGAGGCATGGAACCTTGGGCGG